AAATATGGTTGGTCCAGCCTCTTGGCAAGCGTACTGGGGAGGTGGTGGTGGCATTAGTGCCACTTAGATCATACTTGGCTCCCATCCTGGGAGAGTTCGTGCCCTTTGATAGGATTTGATGCCCTGTGGAAAGAGCTGCCGAGAACATTAGGAAGCTATGGATGCGTTAAGATGTTTCTTCTCTCCTTCCTTCCTTCTGGTAGCGGGGTTCTAGGAGTGACTGATCTTAGCCTCAGAGAAACGCCTTTTGTCTTTAACGTGCAGCAACGCCAGATGTCAGGAGAAGTAGTTATGCCAGTGTGTGTCCCTGACTCCTGTAATTACCCAGTTGTCCTCCCACCTCGATGATAACCTCCTAATTGCTGAAATCTGGCTTCAGTGGTCAAGCAGTTCTAGGCATTCCTGGATGGAGGCATCCTGATACCTGCAATACGCTCCCCCAGCCTCCTGACAGGTCACCAAGCAGCCCATGCACTGGCCATGCACACTGTGACTGGACCAACTCAGTGGGACACGTTACTGGCGTGTTATTTCTGTTCTCTTTTAAAAATGAGTAACTGGGTCTTGACATCACAGGAGTGAGCAAGTCATGGAGTCTCTGGGCTGCAGTTTCCCTGGTGAAAAGCCAGCCTCCTGTTGCCTAGCGCTGCAGGTAGGCGTGAGAAACCAGGTGATGTCATACTTTAAAAAGCATGTGGTGTATATACAAATGACAGCAGATGGATGCTAATTACACAAAAATAATGATGCCTTTATGAAGGAGTGGTCAGATTCTTTTCTCTCAGTACTGGGGATTGAACCTAGGGCCTTCACAGTGAGCTACATTCTCAACCTTTTTTGCAATTTTAAGACAAAATCTCACTAAGTCTCCAAATTGCCCAGGCTAGACTTGAACGTGTGATCCTTTTGCCTTGGCCTTCCAGAATCATGTGATGACAGGTGTGTGTAAGGGTCCGATTTTGCTCTTGTTTTTGAGACAGGGTCTTACTGTGCAGCTTATGCTGTTCTTAGACTCACTTTGATCCTCCTGCCTCAGCATCCAAGTGCTGGGATTACAGGTGTGCGCTACTATGCAGGGCAGGTCAGATATTTTTTATTTAAAGACAAGGAACTTCCCCAGGGTGACAAAAAGACACAGATATTTTGTTTTGGATGGCAGCTATTTGAAAATCATTTTCTACTGTGGATTCCCTTTTGGTGATGGGAACAGAGCGAGTTCACGGAGTGGGAGGATGCAGACCAGTTTATTACTAGTTTGTTTGGATAGCATGTCAGCATTTATGAAGCACTTTCATATCCCTGGCCCACTGAACCATTTCATGGGAGAAGGCTATAGCTTTGGGGTCTCATAAGCCATGATAGGACCCTAGGCTCAGTGCTTATTAGTTTTGTAAGTGGGTAGCTACCTCAGTTTCTTCATCTGTAAAATAGGGATAATTCCGTTCCAGGAGGAGGTGGGATTAGCCAGTATGATGATGCTTTACCAAGTAATTGGGATAGCCTGGCATCTCTCAGTGCTTGCTTAGGAGAACCCAGTTTCCTTTATGTCATTTGTAACTCTGGCCTCACCATCACGTGGATGAGGTCCTGATTGTTATATCTCGCCTTCCTGAGATGGGAAAAATGTGACTCTAGGACAGTTTTGTCTCTCCTTGGGTGACTGACAGTGGATGACAAACCAGCCAGCATCTCCAGCCAAACCAAGCTTGGGCTCTGCCCTTTGTCCCTGACCCTGTGGTTGCTGAATATTCAGTAGGTAGCTGCTGTTCTCCAGTCAAAGACCTTTGTTCCTGGTTAATAATTGCTCTTTGTTGCTGCCCAGAGAGAGGAGTGGCTCCTGCAGCCCTTGGACCCTGTGGCCATCAGAGCAGGGCATGTGTCACATCCTCAGGGTGTGTTGGGCCAGGAAATGAAAGGATGATCATCAGAGCCCCAGGCATGCGTGTCTATGTATCATTCATTTGCGGTTTGGTCTGTTGTATATGATCATACCTGTCAGAGAGAAGCAGAGATCACAGATTGTTCATCATTGTGGGGCCTTGGCTGGCCGCCCCCTCTAGCCCTTCCTTGTCCTACTGGGCCATCTGAGGAGTCCACTGTATGCCAGGCACTGCACTGAGACCTTCTCTTGTGATCACTTTTGATTCTATAACCAGCCGCTGTGCCTGGGCCTGCCCTTAGTGTCTCAGTTTAAACTAGGGTCATGCTGGGTGTGGTGGTGCATGCCTGTAATCCCGGCACTGTGTGGCTGGGGCCAGAGGGTGGGAGGTTGAACAAAAGCCTGGACAATTTAGCCACTTAGCAAGACCCTGACTCAAAATTTTAAAAGACTGGAGCTATAGCTCAGGGTAGAGTTTCCGAGTTTGGTCCTTGGTACCACAGACAAGCAACAGATAACGTGGCCAGACTCTACCATTCTCCACCCCTGACCCCTTGGAGGCTATGACTCCTCTCAGTCGAGTCTGTGGGTCACACTGTAACCTGCAAAGCCAGACTAGATCTGACCCTCTCTGACCTGCCTGAACTCTGCTTTTCCATTGTCCTGTCCCAGAGACCTAGTGACAGTGAAAGAACTCCTCTGTACATTGTAACTAAAACTGTGTGATTTCTGCTGACTCTATGCTCCAGAAATTCAGCAGGGTGCAGAGGAGATGACCTGTACCACTGCGTATGGTGTCTGCCAGGGACACAGCCTCTCCGGTGGCCTCTTCCCAGGGCTGGGTGGAAACTCTTTGTTACCTTGTGAGCTTTGGCCTCATCCTCTCCTTGTGGGCCCAGCTGGACTGGACTTGCACACGGCAGCCCTGTGCCCCAGAGCCCAGGAGTGCAAGCTGGCTTGGTGCTATAACTGGGAGAGCACTTATTCCATTGCATCCTGTAGTGAAAGCAAGTCAGAGGTCTTGCTCAGACTTAAGGGGAGGAGACTAGAGAAATGTTGGTGTGAGTCCTTGAGGGTCTGGGGAGTCTTCCAAGACGCCTGTCCTTCACTCTGCTGTATCACATGCCTGCGTGCCCTTTCATAGACGTGCCATGTACACCCCTCCTGCCCCAGGACCTGTGCACTTGTTTCCCTCTTCACAGGGTGCCCTACTCCAAATACCCCTGGGTCTTACACCTTCCCTTCAACCTTACTAAATGTCACTGTAATAGCCAATACATGACCCCTCCTTATTAAACCCAGCACGCCCCTCCTCATCACCTCTATCTCCTCAGTCCACCTTGTTCCCATTACACTTACCACTTGCTGGCATCTTTAATGCCAGCTCATTGTCTGACCTCCCTCTCTGCCACCTGGGAATGTAGGTGCCATTCGAGTAGGGCCTTTGCTTTGTTTTCTAAGTAGCCCTAGCTCTAGAAAGGACACATGGTAGATACATTTGTTGAATATTTGACAAGGAAACTAAGTAATCTCCCAAAGACACACAGCTCAGAATCGACAGAGCAGGATTCAGACCCAAGCAATTCAGCCTCTAATATGAGGTCATTGAGGCTTTGCTCCCTGCAGTGGGGGTCACTGCTTAGGTATCAGGGCCATCTCCTATCTTCAGTGCCTGGGTCCTGTCTGTCTGGCCTCAGTGCCCTTCCTGCAACTAAAACCTCATAAGGCATAAAATTCTTTGAAGGCGGCTTTCTTTGTCTTTGACAGGAAGCGCTGCTGCCTTTGAGCACCTCAGAGGCCCAGTAAACTGGTACCCCTAGCTGTGGCCTGATGTGGTAGAAAGAATACGATATCATAGTCAGATACCTGATTCTGCCTCCAGAGCGCTCAATTACCGGTTCTCTGATGTAGGCAGATGAGGGATGCCCTTCATCCTTCTGTCTATCCTCTAGGTATTTACTGAGCACATATTCAGTGCCAAGGAGAATGGTGGGTCTTAGGCCATGATGATGAGGACATCAACATGGTCCTCTGCAAACTTCCAGTCTGATGGGAGGTGGACGCTGCCCACAAGTGTGGTCACACAAATACATAGGTATTTGCAGATTGTGGATACAGGAAAATGTGTAATAAGGCATCTATAACAGTACAGTGATGCGGGAACACTTTCCCTGGGGAAATGACTTTGAGTAGGAGTTCATAGCATAGAGAGATAGAATAGGTTTGTTCCAGATAAAGGAAACAACATCTACAAAGGCTCTGAGGAGGAGGGAGCTGGACCTGCTGTGGCAATTGCAAGATCTTGAAAAATGTGCGATTGGAGGGTTGAGAGGCTGCAGGGCCAGACTGGGGTAAAGCAGTCAGATTGTACAGGACTTTGAGCAAGGGATCGAGGGTCCCATCAATGAGTTATTTCCTCATCTGTAATATGGGGGTAATAATAGTACCAGCCTATGACCATGTGGTCAGCAGGAATTGGCTGGCTGGAGGACTGTCTGAGATGTCCACTCCTCTGTTCACCACATTGCCGTGGGCTTGTTTTGCCTCCAGAGAGGGCCCAGTAGCCTGTAGGGCTCTGGGCTAGGCTTAGGAACCGCAGAGATTTCTCCTGCTGCGTTCTGTTTGTCTAAGCAGAATCCCAGAAGTTTGTGTGACTCTCTTACTGTGGTGCCTGACTCATGGGAAATGCTGTCAGTGCTCCTGTTTTTGAAGTTCTTGTTTACTTGTATTTGCATGGTGCATTGTGCATTTTGCATAGTGCAATATGTTATGACACCTGTACTGTGTGGGGATAGTTGGAGCAAATATTTCTACCCCATTTGACAGATGGGCTACACATTGAGCTAGGGATTATAACCAAACATGAGAACTCAGATCTATTATGCAACGTAAGCATGTTTGCAAATCCATCTGTAGGAGATGAAACCCATTTGCAGGTGATTTCATTGTGCTGTGCACTATTATGGTAAATAAAATAAGATCCAAATGCTTTGGTCACTGGCCCAGGCTAGACACTGTGCGGGGCTTAGTTATGGTCTCCAGCATCCAAGTCTCCTGCACAGATATGCCATTTGGTTCCCAAACTCTCTGGACTGAAGGATGCTTTTCTTCTCTTACCCAGAAAACCTCTCTGTGGACTCCAGCTTCTCCTCACCCACTGTGAACTTCCTCCAAGAATTGCCAAGCTACCGCTCCATGGCACGAAGGAGGACGACCCTCCTTTCTCGGGACAAGCAAAGTGGTGCACTGCTGAAGCCGACAGACTCTTACAGCTCCCACCTGGAGGGAGAAATCACTGAAAACCTCAATAGCCAATCCATTCGGAAGTATGCACTGAACATTTCTGAGAAGCGGAGACTGAGGTTTGTTAGACGGCCACCTAGAAGCTGCATGGTGTGTGTTACAGAAGGGTGTTTTTCCTGCATGGAATGTATTTCCTCAAGATCTCACCCAATTGAAACTTTATTCTTTAGGGTACACTAAGCCACTGTGGCAGGTCCCACACCTGTAATAGCTTAATAAATTACAAATTTATTTCCTGCTTACATAAAGTTCTAGGTTCAGGTCAGTAGGGACTTTGTAGCCATTCAGGGACCCAAGCTCCTCTGTCTCGTGGACTCTGCATCCTCCTCTCTTAAACTTTTATGTTCTGGATCCAGCCAGTGGAAAGGGATTGATATGGAAGATAAGTCACCCTAAAGTTTAGCAGGTTAAACAAACCATTTCGCAAGGCTATAAGTCAGCTGGACATTTCCAGTTTTAGTTGGGCTCTGTGTATACTTTTGGTTACTGCTGGCTGGGCAGATGGCTGAGTGATCCAGGCTGGGGGTCAGTGGGGAAGGCTTCAGCTGGGGTAATCACACAGTCTTTATCTCTGTCAGGTCAGCACAACCTTGTTCACTTGGTGGCAGCTGGGGTCCAAGAGGGAGCAGAAGCCTGTAAACCTCCTGAGGCTGGAGAGAGAGCATTGCTTCCATGCATTCTGTAGTCTAAGTGGCTCTCAAGGCCAGTCCAGATTCAATCGACAGGGGAAGAGATTCCTTCGCTTAGTAAAAAGTGGTGCACATCACTTCTGAATGGAGCATGTACATGTTAACCAGGGACTCTTGGGGGAGGTTATGGGGCAGCTCTGCAAGTTGCATATATCACGTCTGCTTAGATTTCTACCAGAGAGGGTTAATGTAGTAATGTAGCCATATCTAATTGCCAGGGAGGCGGGAAATGTCTTCAGTATGCCAAAGAGGGAGACAGTGACCTTTGGTTGGGACTTTGCCATTTTCTCTATTTCTGCAGAACTCAAAACCTGGTTTTCCTTTCTGCCTGAAAGGATTTCAGAGGCAGGTATGCCTGATTAACTCTCATGGGAGCCACCCAGGAGCAGTGGCATAAGTACTTTTGGGAATGTCCTCTGCTTTGTAACTTGAAAGCACATGAACCTTGGTGATATATATATATATATTTTTGAGGTAGGGTCTCACTATGTAGTTTAGGCTGACCATGAAGTCACTATGGAGCCCAGGTTGGCCTTGAATTCTGGGCAATCCTACTTCTGCCTCAGCCTCCTGAGTGCTGGGATTACAGGGAACCTTGGTGATTTTTATTTTTAATTTGGGGAGGGGTATTTGTAGGTTAAAAAATTTGCAAATAATGTCAGGCTTTATGAATGAAGCTCCCTACTAGTTAAAGATTTTCACATTTTGAATTCTTGTAAAATATAATTGCTCTGGGCCCAAAATTTGCCAAACCTAGAGAGAAACATTTTTTCCTTCTACCTAAGGGCTTCCAACCTGGTTGGTGAAAGGAAATTGGAAGACACTGTCAGTCTGCTTCTCCATGAATTCCTAGACCATGGCACAGGGCAGGGCACACGGTGGCACGGAGACCATGGCCAGACCAATGGCTGATAGCTCCTGAGCACAGAGCAGCCCTGTGCTATTGGAAGCACTTGGAAATTTGGGGTCAGATTGTTCTCTGCTAGGGGTGCTGTCTGTGCATTATGGGATGCTTAACATCATCCCTGGCCTCTAACAATGAGAGGTTAGTAGCATCTTCCTCTCACAGTTTTGACAAAAAGCAGTAAAAATGTCCCTAGATATTTCCCACTGTCCCCTGGGGAGGTTGGTGGAAAATTGTCTCCAATTAACATTAGTTAAATGTTACCTACTTTATTTACCCCATTGTGTTTAATGAAAGGCTCAAGCCCTTCCCTTGACAGGGGCTCCCTGTCCTCCAGGAGGACAGGTGGGGGCTGGGTCACATGCTGGGTAGGGCACAAGTCACTGGCTGTGCACCTGAAGCAGGGACTGAACACATCCACCCTTAAGCTGCCCTCCAGCTACCCCATACCCTTCCCCTGGGACTCCTCACATCCATATCTCTCTCTCTCTCTCTCTCTCTCTCTCTCTCTCTCTCTCTCACTCTCTCTCTCTCCTGCAGCTCCTGTTCCTCCCTATCCCCTCCCCTCCCCCACAGTCCCTGACCCCTGCCCCAGAACTGCACTTTAGGAGGATGTCAGGATGTCCAGACTCTGTCATGAAGGACCAGGTAGTAAATGTTTCAGGCTCTGCAGGCCGTGTGGTCTCTGTGGCAGCTGCTCAGCTCGGCTTTTGTAGCAGTATAGAGGATTCATAGTAAGCTCACCTGGCTCTGCACCGGTGAACCTCCATGAACAGACAGTGACATCTGAGTTTTGTGTAACTTTCATATGTCATGAAAAATTCTTGTTTTGATTTTTTTAACCATTTAAACATGCAAACATAAAAAAATAGTGTGCAGGCCAGAGGGTTTGTCCACAGGTCATTACCTGCTGATCCCTGCCCTAGACTGTTAGTCCTCTCAGGCCAAACCTCACCTCAATTGTGCCTTTCTGAAGGCAGCAGTTTATACCAGCGGGCAGTCTGAATATTTGACAGTGTCTGGAGATACACTGGATTGTTGGAACTGACAGACTGGGTCAGGAGTGCTGCCAGATATCCTGCTGTCCCAGAGAGCTTCTCAGGAAGATCCTACGCAGTCCCAAGTGTCAGTTGTTCAGGATTAAGAAGGTGGCACACACCTGTAACCCCAGCACTCAGGGAGGCTAAGGCAGGAAGAGTCCTACTGGAAACTATCTCAAAATAAGAAAGGCTGCATATGTAGACCAGTGCAAAGACCTTGGATTCAGTCCCCAGTACTGGAAAAAAAAAAGCCATTTCTCTGCCTGCTTATAAACATGTGAAAACAACTCTATATGGATAATAGGAAGTTGAAGGGGTGGAGATAGGAGGCATTTTCACAGCAGGAGGAAGGAAGAAAAAAGTGTGTAGACTCGCCAGAGTAGTGAGGGTCTAATGTGAAGACTCCACGGGCATAAAATCATGAAATCCATGTAGGAGGAGTCTCAAAGCCAGGTCTGCCTGAGAGACTGGAAATTCCAGCCTAAAGGATGCTGTTTGTATTCTGTAATCGCTGAAGGGCCATAAAGCTAGAATATACCTCTCTTTCTGTAACAATTTGTTTATCTATCTCTGGTCTGTCTGTCTTACTTACCTGTCATCCACGCTCAGGGGGAAGCAGTTCACTGCCCATGAGTAGAGGGGCGGCACCTATTTTTAATCAGGAGGCTGTGTGTTTCTCCGGTGATGGATGCTGACTGAGAACCTGCTGTGCAGCAGGTGCTGTGTTTGGGGTTAGAATGGAGGGGAGGTGGGCGAAGCAGGTGGCGTCTCAGGCCCAGGACACAACAGTAACTACCATACATCTTTGGCCTTTAACTATCTTGCAGTATTTTGGAAGAGACAGATGTTAAATCAAACGATTGTACAATTGGAGAGGATATGGTTTGAAAAGGAGTCTTCTATGGGGTAGAATGGGAGGGCTTAATTGACTAGGCGTGGGGAAGAGGACAGGTGTGACTCTGCAGAGTGATTTTACTGGGTTCCATTAAGCAGCTGCTTGATATTTTCCCCATCCCAGCCCCAGGTGCCCACTCACTTACTCTCTGTCTCTGTAGATGTCCCAATGCTAGACATTCCATGTAAATGAAGAGGTATAATAAGTGACCATTTGTGTCTGCTTGTTTTTTCATTTAGTGTAATGTTTTCAAGCTGCTTTCAAGTTGTAACCTTGATTCCTTTTAATGGCTGAATAATATTCCAGTGTATGTATAGACCACTTTGTGTATCTATTTTTCATTTGATGGAGCACTTGAGTGGTTTATATTTTTTACCTATAGTGAACAATACTATTGTGAATTTAGCTGGTAAGATTTTTGTGTGTGTGTGAACCGTGTTTCCAGTTCTTCTGGGATCACCCCTGAAGGTAGCACTGCTGGGTCATAGGGTCATTGCACATTACACCTTCTGGGGACTGCCCACGTGTTTGCCACAGTGGCTGCTCCATTTGACGTTCCCAGCACCACAGCTGAGGGCTCTTAGCCTGAGTTTTATTGGATGCTGCTGCCATTGTCACTGTCATGGTACTTTTGAAATGCAGGGCCATTCAGGAGACCCAAATGAAGTATTTGTCCGAGTGGGACCAGTGGAAGCGGTACAGTAGCAAGTCGTGGAAGAGGTTCTTGGAGAAGGCGCATGAGATGACGAGGCACCTGGAGCTGTGGCGGGAGGACATTCGCAGCATAGAAGGTACACGGCCGCACTGCAGCACCCCACGCAGCTCCCGCCTCTGCCCGCCTGGGACCTGGGGAGGGCAGCCTCGCTTTCCCCGAGTGAGCTGAAATGCAGCGTTTTTTTTGTTGGTGAATACAAACAGCAGCCCACACTTAGGCTTAGCAGAACTTGTGTCTGTGTCACCTGGAAAAGTCAGACATTTCCTGTTCCTGCCGTTGGTGGTGGTGTCTTGGAAAGATTCTGTTTGTGCAGTTTCCAGTAGTTTTAGACCTGGCCATTAGATACGTGCTAATGAAGATGTTCATATATTATTCTATCACAGATGTGTTTCTTAACGTTGTAATGAAATATAAAACACGGTGAGCTGGCTCAGAGGCTGCACTGGACTGTCACAGGTGCTCACGGCTATGAAGGTGCTAAGAATCTCTATTTTCCCATAAGAGCAAGCATTTGGGGTACGAGATTGTGTTAGTCAGCTTGGGCTGCCACAGCTGAATACCATCGTCTGGGTGGCCTAAGAAATAGATTCAGGGGCTGGGGATGTAACTCTGCAGTAAACCATTTGCTTAGAATGCATGAGTGCCTGAGTTGGATCCTCAGTGCTGCAAATGGGAAGAAAGGGAGAGGAGGAGCACAGGACTCTGGTTAGTCTTGTAGGGACACTGATCCCATTGCGGGGACCCGTCCCTCATGACCTTGTCTATTCTAATCCCAAAGCCCCCTCTCCAAATGCCATCACCCTGAGGATTATGGCTTCAACATATCTGAGGGAAGGGTGGAAGGACTTTCAGTTCACAGAAATTGGAAGTTGTGCTAAAATATAAAATTAGAGAGAAATATTAAATATTTGGGTGATACAAGAGTCAGTGGGGGGATGCCTCTTGGAATTACACATTTTCTACTGTAAAGCAAAATGATTATAAGCATTGCCTCAAAACTGCTAAAATGGAAATTATTTGTTAAGTGTATAGGGAATGTGGGAGGATAAGTGGAAAAAATGATTATCCTTGTCATTATATTGAAAGGATGTAAACTATCACCAGTAATCTACTCAATCCACTAGCTTTTCATTATTTTATATGCAGAATGCAAACACATTTCTAAGGGATTTCAGAGGCTCGCCTAAAACTTTAACCACATACTCGTACTTTTCATCTTGAAATTTAAGTGTAACATCTTTGGAGCAAAATAATAAACACTGCCTTTATTACACATCTGTGAACCAGCCACTGTGTTGAGCAGTTTACTCCTGTTGTCTCAGTGAAGCCTCACAATAACCTTTTATATAGATGCTTATCTTTTGCCAGGCTGAGCAAAATTAAGCTATTTGTCCAAATTCACTCAGCCAGGATGAGGCAGAGCTGGTGCTCGAACCCAAGCATTCAGACATCATGGCCAAAGTCTTGGCCACTGTGCCCACCATCCTCTTTATCTGGATAAAGGAGATGAGGGGAGGATGGAAATCAATTAATAGTGTTACAGTTAAATATTTACATAAAAAGGTAAATGTGGAGCCCCACCACCATTCTCAATTGATTAGTTTGGGATTGAATGTGGGTGTACATGTGAAATGTTAAACCACTAGCAAATGGAGCTTTAAACGCCACCATAGAAAAATATTTCTGGTTTCTGTGGTTGATTGAATGTACAGAGGGTAGTAGTCAATACTTCTGGTCAGTGATGCCCAGATTTCTTTTTTTCCAGGGAAATTTGGCACTGGGATTCAGTCTTATTTCTCCTTCTTGAGGTTCCTGGTGTTGCTGAATTCGGTGATATTTTTGATCATCTTTATGCTGGTTTTGCTCCCAGTTTTGCTCACTAGATACAAAATCACCAATAGCACCTTTGTGGTCATTCCATTGAAAGACATAGGTAAGTTTATGGCCTTGTTTACTTGTTGAGGGTTCTTTTCACTGTGCTCCCCACTTCAGTGCTGTCTTTGCTAAGAATCTTCTAAATTTTAGGTTGCTGTGTTAGTGAGGATGAGCTAGATTATGCTGCAGAAACAAACAGTCCCATAACCCTCAGTGTCTAATAGCTGCCAAGATTTATTTCTCACTCACAGTCCGTATTCATCATGAGCTGTGGTCTTCACTCTGGAATCCAAGCTTATGGAGCAGCCACTGAGTTGATCCTTGATAGTCATTGTGACCTGTGCAAAAAGAACCATGGCCAACATGTGCTGGCTTCTGACCCGTCTCCCTGGAGGTGACGCACAGCCTTAGTTAGCTCTGCCACATCTCATTAGTCACAGCAAGATACTTGGCCACTCCGTGTTCATCATACAGAGTGTTTGGGAGGAGCAAACGTAACACCATCTACCCCTGTCACTTCATTTGAGGTTTTTATAACTGACAAGGATGAAGCTCCAGGCTACTCTTTATTCAACACCAGTAACAGGCCAGACACTGTGGCAAGTGCTGGATGTGTTTTCTTCCTGAATTCTCAACACAAGCCTCCTGTTTTTGGAATCCTCTTTGCTAGCTGGAGAGAATTTCAGGCATTCTACAGACATCAGTTGATCACTGCTGAGCCCAGCCTAGGAGTTCACCGGGTTTGGCCCATGCTCCATAGTTTGCTGATCTGTAGACCACAGCAGAGTGAGGAGAAGGGCGCAGGCTTCTCATTCCATCTCCGGTTTCTCTCAAATGAGAATCACTGTCTCTTTCTGCTTTGTCTACATTGTTTCTTAATGCAACCATTTGAGCACCTCCCATAAACTGAAGTTTCCACTTTCCTTCCTCTGACACTTTGATGCCATTTGCTTTTCTTATTCATCTTTTTATCTCCAACATCTCTCTGTTACATAGTGACAAAGAAATGTTTCTTGAATTAGTAAACAAATAAAATTATAAGATGGTAGAGCTGGGATTTGCCTTGGGGGAGGTGGTTCAACTATTTATTTGTTTATTATTTTTTGAAACAGGGTCTTGCTATGTAGTTTAGGCTGACCTTGAACTCACTATGTATGTAGCCAAGGCTGGCCTCAAATTCATGGCAGTCCTCCCGCCTCAGCCTCCTGAGTGCTGGCATTGCAGGTGTGCACCACCACAGCTACCCTCAGCCCAGAGCCGGATTGAGATCGGGTGGGACAGACCTGAGCCCAGGTGGAACCCTAGGCTCTCTCATGGCTCATCCTGGTCAGCAAATGAATGCAAACTGCGGCCATGCATGAGAAAATAGATTCCATCTTCTCAGTCCCTTAGGTTTTAATATTGTTTGTTGCACAACAGTAGCTGACTGGTAAGAAGGGAAAGTCAGTTTTCCAAGATGAAGGTAGCATCACTCCAACCAGTGTTTACATTTTTGTTTAATAGTTACACATATGTAAACATGTATTTCTGAATGAAATTCAGTGGTTATTTGCATACACATAGAGATCTGTCTATATCTGATGTGCTTAAAAGTGGGATAGGAAGCCAGGTATGGTAATGTATGCTTGTAATTCCAGCAGTCTGGGAGGCTGAGGCAAAAAGATCACAGTTTGAGCCCAAGTTGAGTAACTTTAGAAAGTTAGCAAGATTCTGTCTCAAAAAAATTTAAAAATGGGATACTAACAATTAGTATACCAATCACATGTGTCAAAATGCTAACACATATACAAGCTGAAAATGAGGCTCCACCCACAAAATATACAGAAAAAATACACATTCCCAAATGTTTGGGGAGAATAGTGAAGGAAATGCTAGAAATAGGAGGAAATGTTACTGCACTTAAAGACATTGAAATTTGGTAATAGTAAAATAGAAAATCACAAATACACAAACATAGTTTGTGTACAACTATGCATCAATATGAGATATTTAAATGTATGTAGTCATATAGAAAATTGTGAGACAAGTTATAGAATTTGTCAGACTATTTCCAACAAATGTTCTTACTCTTTTTCCTGCAGATAAGCAATGTACAGTCTATCCAGGAAGCAGTTCTGGACTCATCTACTTTTATAGTTATATCATAGACTTGCTTTCTGGCACTGTAAGTATTTAACCTAATTCTTTGTTTGGATATGCAAAATCCTAAGCATGGGTTAAAGATCAGTGCCGGGAGTGTCTGCAGTGGGAGCTAAACACAAGTGTGGACATGCAAGCCAGGAAAACCAACCAGGTTCATGGTTACTCATCAGTGAGGAGGCTCAGCCACTCCTTCCTCGGGCGTGTGCAGGAAACAGGTTTTGCCCCTGTCACCCATGGCCTTTTCCTAGTCCCTGCCATGCCGAGATTGGCCTGCAGCAAAATACTGAGGGCCCCACAGAAAGAAGTGTCAGCGAGAATGAAGCGGGACAGGCTTAGTATCTTCACTGTGCTATTGAAAAGACCACGGTGGATGAAGTCTGCGGCTCTTCTATGCAGAGATTATACACAGAGACACGTGTGAGGCACAGATTCGTCACACATACACACTTCATGTGCATATGTCCATGCTTGTGTGCACACACCCCACGCCTGCCCCTAGGGCTATACACGATTCCTTGAAATCCTTCCAAGATCTGTTCATCTCAGGTTAACACCCTCTGCTGCAAAGTGGAATAAATGTTATTCTAAATGGTATTTTTTTTTTTTTTATCGGTACCAGGGATCGAACTCGCAACCACGCACTTGCAAGGCAGGCGCTTATGCCGCTGAGCTAAATCCCTAGCCCCTAAATGGTATTTTTTATCTTCATCAAAAAATAGTTCTCTGTGTGTGTGTGTGCTCCCCCCCCCCCTTCTAGGGACTGAACTTGACCTTTGCACTGAACTATATTCTCAACCTTTTTTTAAAATTTTGAGCCAGGGTCTTACAGAGTTGCTAAATTACCCAGGCTGGGATCAAATTTGTGATCCTTCCAGAGTTCTCGGATCACAATGGGTACCTGCCTCTCTGTGTGTTTTTAATGCCCTTTTTTTCTAAAAGCATATAATAGATTACAGTTGTGAAAAGTTACCATCACCATAGTCCCAGTAAAGATTTCTCAACTTGAGCATTGCTAACTACATTTTGGTCCATGGTAGGAGGCTAAGCCGTGTCCCTGCTCTCTACCCACTAGATGGCAGTAGCAGGCCCCAGGTTATGATGGCGAAAGATGTCTTCACATATTGCCAAATATTTCCTGAGGGACAAAATCGCTCCTGGTTGAGAAGTGCTACTCTAGATATGTCACACAGGCATGTGAAAATCGAGCATTGCTAATCTGAACATCTGCAATCTGATTTGGGAGCATTTTGGATTTTCAGGTTAGGGATGTTTGGTGAAATCCATTCCAATATTTCCAATTCTGAAAAACAGTGAAATCTGAAACTTTTCTGAGCTCAAGGATTTCACATAAGAGGTATTTATTTTGTATATAAAATTACCTTTCTGAAAGTTGCTGGTACAACATACCATGGTATTGAACTTAGACTTTTCTGAGCAGATAAGTGGAAAGCCTTGAATTTGTTCACTGCATTTGATTTTGAGAAAGTGGCTCTATATTTCCAAACTCATATTTTCTTTGGGACAACTCAGAGGAATTGTTGGGGTGCAAATGAGAAAAAAGTCAGCGACTCTCGCAACATCACACTGAAAGCAATTGGGTTTTTTATTTATGTCATGTGTGATAGGATTGCCTTTTTTTTTTTTTTAAGGCTGAGCTATATTTGATTGTATGTATAGTCCACATTTTGTTTCAGGCTTTGTATATTTAACTTTCTTTTCTTCAAAACATTTGATCATCTTGGCTTATATATTTAAATCTTTGCTCCATTTAAGCTAATTTTTATATACGATGTGAGGTTGAAGTTCACCTGCATTCTTTTGCATGTGGCAATCTGGTGGTCTGAATACGGTTTGTCAAAAACAATATCCTTTCCCTTTATTAAATATTAACTGACCATAAATGACACATTGACTCATTTCTGGACTCCCAGTTCTGCCCTGTCTTTGTGTATGTCTAGCCCATTGTCTTATTTACTGTTGCTTTTGTAGTAAGTTTTGAAGTTGGAACATGTGAGTCCTCCAACTCTTGCTTTTTACACTGTAATTTTGGCTATTCTGGGTCCCTTGAAATGCCATGAGATATTTAAGATCAGCTTTTTAGTTTCTACAAAGAACCCACTGGGATCCTGGTGAGGACTGTGTTGAATCTGTAGATCCCCTCGGGGCTGTTGCCATGGAGCTCCTGATCCAAAAACGTGGGGTATTTTTGTTAGTTTTCCAAGTATAAAATTTATACTTCTTGTGTTAAATTTATTCCTAATTTAACTTTTGTATTGAATTTACCCCTAATTCTTTCATTATTTTTGATGGGATAGCACATGGAACTATTTTCCTAGTTTCAATTTTGACTGATTTACCTGAGTATCGTAATGCTCAGGTTTTATCAATGCCTGTTTCTCTGGGGCTGTTCTGGTGTCCAGGGATACAGTGATGAACAGAGTTATTTCAATGTGAGTTCCATGAGGCAGAAATTACTCTTATAGTTGCCTGCACTGAGCTGACCAGGCTGACTCCATGCTCTTGGCTTCGTTTCAGGGCTTCTTGGAGGAGACCTACCTCTTTTATGGACATTATACCATTTATGGTATAAAATTTAAGAACTTCACCTATGATCTGCCTCTGGCTTATTTGATAAGCACAATTTCCTATCTGGCCCTGAGCCTCCTTTGGATAGTGAAAAGGTAAGTGTATCTTGTCATTGTAATCTCCTTGAATTACTTTTGATGGCTGGAGTCTCTTGGAGCTCTGTTGAGTCTGAAAGCATTGCCCAAAAAATGAGCAACTCTTGGGTGGGTTTAGTGGGGAAAAGGTTTTTGAGGGTACTAAGAAGACCCAGAGAATGTTGAAGCAGAATTTGGGAAATGGAGCAGCACCTTAGTTAATTGTTATTGACCATGTTTGGCAGTCCCACACCTCTTTTCCAACACCCCTTGTCTCTGCTTTGGTATTTATGTTAGTTAGAGATCCATGGGGTTGCAGATGGCAGAAACTCAACTCTGGAAAACTGCACTGAAAGGGAATTGAGTGAAGCACTGATCAAACCAAAGGAGGAGAGTCAGTTACAGAAGGACAGAGAGATAGCTGCAGGTTAGGAATAATAGCAGAAGCAAGATTGCCTGCCACTTTGAGTCTAGTGTGGTGGCAGCTTTCTTAAATAGTGAGAAATAAGGCATCTCATAGTTTCCATCAGCCCGTGACTCCATAGGTCACAAGTGCTGAGACCCTTTGAAGAGACTTGTCAGCTCTGGTTCATTCAGATGCCAGTCCTCTGACCCATCATCTACAGCTGGGGGTTAGGGTCGTAGGATAACATTGCATCACATTCCCAAGAGATTTGGTGAGTGCACAGGCATGCGTGTACTAGCAGTTTGCAGGAAAAGTTTTTTTATAGTTTGGATCTGAAATGCGCCCCCAAGGCCACCAGCCTGTAGCACTGGTGGTGGTGGTGCCCCGTTCAGGAGGTAGGACCGAGTGCGAATGTGTCATGAAGGGGGTGTGGTCTTGGCCCTCTCTCTTTCTGCTTCTTGTCTGCCATGAGATGAGCAGCTTTTCCTTACCATGGTCTACCTCAGCCCAGAGCCAAAGCAAGGGGCCAAGCAACTGAAATTTCAAATCCTGAGCCTCAATAAACCTTTCCTCCTTTTAAATTGATTTTCTCAAGTATATTGTCACAGCAATGGGACGCTAATACAGATAGAAACATTAATTCCTTTAATAACGTTAATAAAAAACTATCTCACAAGGTAAAATGGCCCAATAGATAGTAAAACATCTATTTCTGTCCCTGTGTGATACTGACTTAAACATCTTAGGGTCTGAAATCATTTAGGAATGTGCATGTTGAGAAAGCATCTCAGGTGGTTCTGATGTACCTTCCTTGGTGTGATCCTCTGGCAGAATTGATGGATCACACCAATTCCTTCCACTTGCATTGTCCTCATGCCTCCCTAGCAAATTCTAAAAATAACCTGTTTGAGGTAGAGGCCTGTGATATTCAATGTTTTTATGTCATCAGTGCCAGAGTGTATTTTCCATGAAAGCGGTTGATTGAATAAAAATTGTGAAATATGTAAGAGCTGCCTCTGGCATGAACAGGTGCTCACTAAATGTTTGTTTCATTTGCTGCGTAAGTCATTTATTCATGTATTTATTCACTGGTTGAGCAAAGTGTGATCTAGGCATTGTAAAGGCATTGCATATAAAGGTGGCAAAATAACCAAGGTGTCCTCAAGGAACTTATAATTCAGCCAGCGTGAGAGGATATAAGCAGTGAACAGGTCAGTCAGGTGGTTTCAGATGAGATCATTGCTGTCAAAGAAATTAAAGGGACTGATCTGAAGTAGGGGTTGCGGCTTTAGATGGGGAGACGAGGAATCCTAGAGGAGATGTGCAGCTGGAATATGATGGTGCATTCAGTTATTGTGACAAAGACAGTGTACTAAAAAGGAGGAAAGGTTTATTTTGGCTCATGGTGTCAGAGTTTTCAATCCACGGTCGCTTGGCCCTATGAATCTGGGCCTGTGCTAAGTCATGGCAGCCAGGAAGCAGAGAACAAGAGGAAGAGGCTGGATTCTCAATATCCCTTTCAACGGCACCGCCTCCTCCCCCGATCTTCCTTCTACTGGGGCCCACCTCTCTAAGTGTCCATCACATTCCAGCAGTGCCTTGGCTGGGGCCAAGCCTTCAACACATGGGCATTTGAGGGCACACTCCCAAACCAATCTGTAGCAGATGGCTCGGAGCCAGCTGTGGAAATCAGGGGAAAGACCACACCTGAAAAAAGTAAACTGTCAAGTACAAAGGCCCTGAGGCAAAAGCAGGGATTTGTAGGTTTATAGAAAGGTATGAAAACTATTACAGTGGAGTGGCCACCTGGGAGGAAAATAGAGCTAGATCATGTAGCACTTTTAATTTATGTTAAAATGTCTGGGAATGAGAAAAGAAGGAAAAAAAATCGAAAATAAACCTTTTGTAAATGAGGAGGGAAGGAGGGACTTGAAGAGAGAGTAGGAGAATGGGAGGAAAAAAAGAAACATTATATCCCGAACAGGTACAAATTCTCTATGATGAATGTGATCGTTACATATGTCTAAAATGTACCAATAAAATCTGATTGGAGAAAAATATGGCCTGGGTTTTGTTCCAGCTCTGATAGAAGTTGTTAGATGGATTAACAGAAGTGATTTTTAACAATGAGATACCTGGCTAACTGTCACAGACAAAGAATGGTCCAAAACTTAACCATGTCAGAATGTGCCAAACATACAGCCATGTGCAGCTTCTCAGGTTCTAGATGAAGCCAATTCATGGACTTGTACTTTGCTGCTGCTGCTATCAGAAGGATACTTGTGTTTTGGGGCCAGGTCAGTGGAGGGGTTTAAAGTCAACCTGATTCGGAGTGAGGAGCACTTCCAGAGTTACTGCAACAAGATCTTTGCTGGCTGGGACTTCTGCATCACCAACCGCAGCATGGCCGACCTGAAGCACAGCAGCTTGCGGTATGAGCTCCGAGTGAGTCCTGCCGGGTTTTCCCGTGGGGGTGCTCCCTGCCGGGTCATGCCTTGTGCAGGACCGAGGTGGGCGCCAGGCTGTCTCAGGTGCTCAGCAGGCTTCTCCTGTGTTGTTTTCAAGAGCTTTCTGCAGTGTTCAGCTTATTGGGGTGATGACCTTGAACCTAAGGTGGGGACACACATGGGTGGGGGAAGACAGTATCTTTTCTCCACCTGCTGCTTCTGACACTGTTACGTTCTCACCTGATAACTGTCATAGACATTGCTTGTACTGGAGAAACTGGACTGAAGGTGGGTGACTATGAGAGGTTGAAATGGAAAGAACACAAAAAAGTACAAGAAAATTTCTGAATTAATAAGGAGAAAAAGAGTAGTGAATAGCATCTTGGTGAACCCCCTCCCCCAACAGAAAAGAGGAGGCAGGAGACAAACAAATCAAAAGCTTAATAAAGTAAGAGCAAAGGAAATAAATGCATTGTTTCTACACTAAATATAAATAGATCATATTTTCCCATTAAAAAGCAGACTACCAGATTGGGTTAAAAAGTAACATCTACTTACATGCTATTGCAAGAATATATATATATATATATATGTATGTATGTATATATATATATATATATATATATATAATGATTTAGTGCCCTTAGAAGACATAAAACATAAAATCTAATTGGGCTTGACCTGGGAAGGTGTCTAATATTTAAATGAGGTCCTAAAGATAGATGAGGAGGGTATCATAGGTTTTTGCCCCCTAAAACTCCTTCATTACACTGCTCACAAATGTATTTTCTTTGCTCCTCAGGCAGATCTGGAAGAAGAGAGAATACGGCAGAAAATTGCACAGAGGACCTCAGAGGAAACGATACGCATTTACTCTTTGAGACTGCTTTTGAACTGCATTGTTCTGGCTGTTTTGGCTGCGTGCTTTTATGCAATCTACTTAGCAACCATCTTCTCACAGGAACACATGAAGAAGGTAAGTGTACCTCGAGAGTCCCTTCAGCCTACACCCTGGTGGGGTGTTATACTAGATGCATCATAGACTAGAGTGATAATAGATATTGTCATCATTTCTGAATATATGTGGGGGTATAAGTTTGGCTGATGTGACAGAGAACTAAAAATCAGAGGTGATCAATTTTCAACTTTTAAGAGAAATTTCAGAAAACGTTGGATTTATTTGTTTCTGCTGGAATATGCAGTATTCAAATTCAGGCTAGATTGTCTGCATTTTTATTCCTGACTCCTCTACTTACTAGGTGTAGTGCCTTAGTTTACCTGAAATAGCGGTGATTAGATTATACAGAAACCATTGTTCATTTTCTGTTAGCCGATTCTAAATACTCTGTAATGCTGTCATTCTCTTAAATGGTTTTACATTGTTTTGATATACTTAATGCTACAGTATACGAAGTTGTACTCAAGGACTTCAAGGAAAGAGTCTATATGGTAACTACTTTTGGGTCGGAATTATCTGGTGGTGAAACACTATTCTGCTTAAATGGTTATGTTTTGATCTGCCCTGTTTCACTGTTATGCCCTCTTTTTTCTCAATCTCCATTCCATTATTTACTTTTTTATTTTTAGCCGTTTAATTAAAGGGAAAAAAATAGCAGGATATAATATAGTAACCCACTTTGACTTTCTATTATCTCGATTTGAAACCCTGTATTACTCTCACCATCTTGTTTTTGACTGAGGTTCCTCTATTCTGTTTTGCTGGATAGTATCAGGTTCGAAAGTTTAGGCATCAGCTGAGAAGATAATGAGATTCATTATAACGCCCATTCTCGTTGACTTTTATCTACTTCTGAGGACCTACAATGTCTCCAATGTTTTGGTTTTGTCGGTTTTGTTCTTTACTGTTTTGTTCAATTGTATTATAACTAATGATATAGGCAATTCTATTAGAGATAGCGGGAGGCATTATGGTAACCATTGTTGATCACCTTGTATTATGTTTTTACATTATCTATTATGTCCACCCTTTTGACTTGACCGATTCTGTTCTGTTATGTCACATTTGGTTTTACTCTCTTCCAAAAAAGCAATAAGAACCGTGGGAGCAATGAAACCCAAAATGTGTAATAGTCATTGTACAAAAGAGAGGAAAAGAAAGAGCTCTAAACTATATAACTGCATGTATATTTAAGTGTATAAGATAGAAAATGATATCACAGAGTTTTATTGGATCATTGAACAGAACTGTTTGCAGTATCATTGTTGGAATGTCCACTCTACAAGCTTTAATTTTGTGACTTGAACAATTATTTCTAAGATGGCAATATGTAATCCATTAACTAGTGATTTCCTACTGTGCATTTTTTTCTTCTGTAAATCTGTATAACTTGTACCCCTTCACTGTTTTTTTTTCTTTTCTCCTTAAATAAAAAAAAATAAAATAAAATCCAAGTTAATTAGTAGCTTTGTTTCATGAACTTAAATCAGGGCCCAGATTCCATCTGTCTTGTGTCTCTGACACCTGCAGGGTGTGGCTCCCTTCTCTGGGGCAGCAGACAGCTCACTGTGACATCCACGTTCTAACCAAAGGGAAAACATGACCTGGAGTCTGACTTAAAACTTCTACTCATCTCCCCGTGGCCAGAGTTACATGACTGTGCCTACCTATAAGAAGACTAAGAAAATTTTTTATCCTAGCTGTATTTGTAGCTGAGTAATGTGTTACTTTGAAAAAAGCTATTACAAATAATCACTATTACATCCCTGAAAATAATTTGCTCATTCATACAGAATACCTGTGATTCTTTTAATGCTTTGCCTTAAGATTCCATTTTTCTTCCAGCTAGATTCTATGTATCTCTGTTTGCTCACCTGTGGAAGGAAATGGCTTTATGTTTAGAGGCTATGTTGAATGACAAACACATTTTATTGGTTTGCCACATATGCATTGTCGAATTCTTTTTCAATTCAATTTGTGTTGCTATTTCCCTAGGAAATCGGTAAGATGGTTTTTGGAGAGAACCTGTTGATACTGTACCTACCATCCATTGTGATCACACTGGCCAATTTTATCACCCCAATCATCTTTGCCAAGATCATCCACTATGAGGATTACTCACCAGGCTTTGAGATCCGACTGACGATTCTTAGGTGAGGCCTTAGCTGCAGGTCACCACTTGCCTGAAGTGGTCATTGCTAATCAGGGGTGCACATTTTCCTGCTGAGCTGAGCGTCTTCCTTAACCTGTAGAGAAGGAATCAGAATTTGTGCTTGCAGTGTAACCTCTCTGACCTCAGGGTCCACTCGTGCGTGTTATACTTTAGTCCCTGTGTTAGCTGAGGGCTGGGGTGGACTTCTAGGAGGTACTGATGTGAAGATGTCAGAATCTACAGATTAAGGCAGAGTCCAGTGAGCTCATACATGGGAGTGAAGAGGGCCAGGAGGGAGCGACGTGGAATGGGAGAATTTTCATCGTGCTCCTCAAATACTTGAGATTGTATTTGCACCTTAGAAATAAAAACCAAAAAGCTTTGTGTTTCACAAACATTGAAACAGGACAAATGATCTGGTGAACCTTCACGTGCTCATCATGTAGTTTCAACCATCCCCAACATTTTGCCCCCACCTTTTGATAACAGGGATTAAATACAGGGCCTTGCCTGAGCTGCACCCCAGCTCTTTAAAAAAAAATGTAAAATTTTGAAACAGGGTCTTGCTAAGTCACTAAGTTGGCCAGACTGGGCTTGAACTTGCTGGGGCACAGGTGTGTACTGCCACATCTGGCTTGCCCATCTTGTTTCATCCATTTCCATCACCTCTGCGAGATTATTTTGAGCAAATCCCAGACAATGTGTCGATTTGCCTGTGAACACTGCAGTCTCTTTCCAAGCGATGAGACTTGTTTTGACGTGAACATCTCACCCCTCCTCACATGGAGGCAGTCTTCCTGGTGGAGTGGGAGATGGCTTGTTCAAATCATGATCTGCACAAGGTCCACGTGCTGCATTTGTTCTAAGAGTTCCTTTTATGCTTTTTTTTTCCTTGTTAATCTGGTTTTTTTCATTAGCATATTACATTTATTTTATAATTTTCAGAGGCTATCCTTTTGTCAATTTTTACTTAGTATGTATTTGCCGTACATAATAATCACATTCCTCATGTGGAATTGGCAGATGTACGTAACACCTCTGCATTCTTTTTTCTTCTCCTTCCCTTCCCTTTCCTCACCCCTGCCTTTTTTTTTTTTAAAGATTTTTTTCCTTTTTGTTATGCCATTGTGGAAGTAACCAGGTCCTTTGTTCTCTAGAATGTCCCCTGTTCTTGACGCAGTTTGCTGTCTGTTGGTGGTGTGTGTGTGTTTTCCATACCCACAGTTGCTGTAAACTACTGTGTAGAGTTAGAGACCTTACTGGATCCCATTTCAGTTTTTTGCTGTGGAAACCTCATCATTAGGGCTCTGTTCCCACCTGCTGTCTCCCTCTGCAGGAGGCTCATTGTCATGGCATCAGGAGTCACACCTTTCTGATCTTTTTTACTTTTTAAAAAAACTAGTAAGACATGAGATGTACTGGAAAAATATGGTGGAAGTTTAAACAATGTATTCCCCTCTGCCTCACATACTTAAACTTATCCCATTCTTCCTCTGTTCTGAAAGGCCTGTTTGTAAATGTCTTCAGTTGTTCTGTTGTGACTGAATTGATTCAAAATGTTTACCTCTCACGGTCACTTTGGCTTTGCGGAAGAGCCCGAAGTTGCACCAGGCCATTGTGATGAGTAAAAGGCATGAGGACGCTAAAATGGATGAGGAAGTTTTCACCAGCCTGCCTTTCCATTGGATGGCACAAGGCAGCGCGTTCACCGTATTTTTGGTCACGCCTTGTTTAGAAAGTGATGAAAGAGAACTTCCAAAACTGCTTCAGAAAGTTGCAGGAATGATGGGATGATTGTGTTCAAATTGAGGGGAAGGGGTATTTTGAGGGAGATTATAAAATTTAAAATGTAGACATTTACCTTAAATTTCGATATATAACCTAAAGTTACTATATAGCCTAAAAATTATTTTTTATTTTTGTTTTCTGGAGAAAGGATCTCACTGTGTAGTTCATGCTGGCCTTGAATTCATGATGCAGCCCAGGCAGGTCTTGAACTCACAGCAGTCCTCCTGTCTCAGCTACCTGAGTGCTGAAATTACAGATGTGCACCACATCTGGCAGTGTTAACCATTTTTAAGTGTGCAGTGTAGTGGCATTCAGTTTATTACCAGCGATGCACACTTGTCATCACTATGCATCTCCAGGACTTTTTCATCATCCGTAACAGAAGCTCTGTATCCATCAGGGATTTGCTTTGTTTTAGGGGCTGACAGGGGACGGCCTGCACTGACAGCTTCCTCTCCTCCCCTTTCCTTTCTCCCCTGCAGGTGTGTGTTTATGCGGCTGGCCACTATCTGTGTGCTGGTATTCACACTGGGCTCCAAGATCACATCCTGTGATGACACCACATGTGAACTCTGTGGCTACAACCAGAAACTCTACCCAGTAAGCTGTGGAGGTGGCATCTTGCTGGGTGGAAGAGGTCATCTGGTGACAGTGTCACAGTCAAGATGCATGGGCTCGGTTCTCTGTTGCACCTCTCTCTAGCTGTAGCTAGGAGGTGGGTCTGGGCCTGCGCCTGGAAGACTGTGTTGGAGCTCAGGCAGCAGCATCTGGAGATGGAAAGGGCATTGGAAGAGATCTGGGAATCTGGCTTCCTTTGCCCAAAAGGGTCTCTTGTTGCCTCTTACTCTCTCTGGTTTCAGTGCTGGGAGACCCAGGTTGGGCAAGAAATGTACAAGCTGATGATCTTTGACTTGATCATCATCCTGGCTGTGACACTCTTTGTGGATTTCCCTAGAAAGTAAGTACGGGGCTTTTCCCTCTTACCTGTCATCTCCATATTGGAGCTCCCATCATGACTGCACAAAGCACTGGGTGACTCCTCAGTCCCCAGGAATCCACTGGTAACCAGTGAGCCATAGGTGACCCATCCGAAGATGGTGTGAAGAGTAGGGACTATGCTGCTTCCCATGAAGCACCGCGGAGATGAACTGCTGCCGTCGGCACAGCCATGCCAGTATCAGTGTGGACTACCAGGCTGCAGTGGAGGCTGCGTCTCCTGATCTGGATTCAGGCCCCGGCACTGCCCCTTGCTACTTGTGTGACATTAGGCAAACTTGTTAGCTCATTCTCATGTGACCCATGTTGCAGCTTTGTGAGCTTTAAGAGATACTGTGAATAAAAGCACCGAGAACACTCACAGCACGCAGCTCAGCAACACATCACAGTCCCCATCATGACTGTCATGTCCGCCTTGTTTTGATTATTCTCCCCTCTCCGTAACTTTTTGACCTACACATGCAGGTAATCCAGGCATGGATTTAGCATTATTAATAAAGACGTCAAAAAAGAAACTTAAAAGTCTCACACACACGCGCACGTATAAATACCACATTGTTTCTCTGGTGTGAGAAACTGCAAGTATAAATAAGGATCAAGGTATATATTAGGCATTGTGAAATAGGAAAAAAAGTTTTTTGTATGTTATTAAAACACTAAAAACTAAAATAAATAAAGAAATAAAAAGCTTGAAAAGCACACAAATATGAATGGGTGCTATTTAAAATTTTTAAATATGTAGAATTTAAACAAATGTAGAAGTCTGGAGAAAGGTGGGAGCTTTGTTCTGTTATGGTACCCCCCTCCCCCGACTATCCAGTCCCATGCCATTCCTCACAGGTGAGCATTGCTAACACTTTGGGAGAGCTCATGCAGTCTTTAAAAACTGTATAAAAATACAAGCTGTGTATGGTGCTGCACACCTGTAATCCTAGCACTCTGGGAGGCTGAGGCAGGAGGATTGTAAGCTCTAGCCCAGCCCAGTAACTTAATGAAACTATCTTAAAATGACAATAGAAAAGGGCTGGGAATGTAGCTCATTGTGAAGGCCCTGGATTGAATCCCCAGTACTACGAAACAAACCAAAAATATATACACACACATATGCACAAATACCCATGTAGATAGACTCACTGTCATGTTGGATGCGTTCTTTACCTTCAGTGGGATCATCCACGTGGGTCTAAAGTTTGCCATCCAACCCTTGTAAGAATAAAACATCAGAGCTTTGTGACACATGGGTTTTACTCATCTCTCTTACAACGTTTTCCTGTATCTGTGGCTTATTATTTATCCATCTAACCCCAACTGATGGCATTTTGGTTGTTTCCAGTGTATTTAATAGTCATGAGAATACTGCTGTGAATAGCAGTACAGTGTATATTTCTCTTGGGGCTTTGGCCCTGGAAGCTTCTAGAATCCTGAGAAGTGACATTGGTAAGTGGTAGGGTACCCATAAACTATATTCTGCATGAATACATGGCACTTTTTGTGTCGAATGACAAGCCAGTATACAGAGACCTCCAGTATGGTTTATGCTCAGCATAACTGTGAAGTAGGATATACTAGAGTCCCCCATTTCCCAGATGGGAACAATGAGGCTCAAAGAAATCAAAGAACTTACAGATTTGGATGTTAAGTTGTGAGTCTAAGGCTCAAATCCTGGTCTTGATTTCAGAGTCCACTATATTCTTATAAGACTGTAAACAGGACTAACCAGTTTCCCAGGAAATGGCCTTATTTGGTGGTAAGGTTCTGTGGCCTTGGCAGACACCTGTAACCAGGTGAGAATGGTCTGGTTTCTTTTCAGGCTCCTGGTGACCTACTGCTCCTCCTGGAAGCTGATCCAGTGTTGGGGGCAGCAGGAGTTTGCCATCCCGGATAACGTCCTGGGGATTGTGTATGGGCAGACCATCTGCTGGATCGGAGCCTTTTTTTCTCCCCTTTTACCTGCAATTGCAACTGCGAAATTCATCATCATCTTTTATGTGAAAGAGGTAAGGGGGGGGGGCTGCCCTGGGCCAGCCTTGATCTTGCAGGGATTCGTGTGTTGGAGCCCACCCCACCTTCATGAGGCACATCAGAGCGATTTTCCTCATTTAATGTATATTTATTCTGGAAGAAAATGGAATGAATTGTCACTGGTTTGGGGGTGGTTTTGTTTTTCTTCTTCTTGTAGGAGAGATTAAATCCAAGGCCCTTATACTGAGCTACATCCCTGGTGGTTTTTACAATGTTGAGACAAGAACTCATTAAATCACTAAATTACCCAAACTGGGCATGAACTTTTCTTAATTTTAAGGATATTGTTAAGGATTATTTTGTTTCTGTGACTTAAATGTCATCTCATGTAATATAAGAATTGAGTCTCTGTGAATTAGCGGTGGTACATTTTAGTGATATTTTGCTTCTCTCCTCTTCCTCCCATCCACCCACCCTCCTTCCTTCCTTCCCTCCCTTTCCTCTTCCGATTCTTACGTGTGGTACTGGGGATTTAATTCAGGGGTTATGTAGAATAGGCAAGCGCTCTACCCCTAACCCCCAGCCCTTTTTATTTTTTATTTTAAAATAGGATCTCACTGTGTATCTCAAGCTGGGCTTGAACTGAATGTCTTACCTCACCCTACTAAGCAGCTGGGATTTTAGGTGTGCACTACCGCACATGTATTAATTTTTATTATGTAACTTTTCTTGGATTTTGGAGCCACACAGTTATTTTTAAGTCTCAGTGATTTGTCTAGGGAGCCAGGCCCTTGAATAGCCTGGGCGCTGTGCCAGAACTAAATGTTGCATGGGAGAAATATGTCTGCAGATGACTGGCTTATCGGGACTTACTGTTTTCTTTGTAATAGAGCTAATGTATACTTATTGTTATGCATTTAATAATACAAATAGGTTTATAGTAATGTCCATTCCTTCTTTTCGAGGTAGTCTTTGATAATAAGCCTGTATCAGTGTTTACTAGAGAAACAGATATAACACAAGAAATAACAAATGCCTAAGAATTTACAAGAATGACTTACAGTGGCACCCACAAAGTCGGAGGAGTAGTCTGCACCCTGGGGATGGAACAGTTCAGTCCAGGGTCTGGAGCTCACTGCAGTGTCCTGTGCGAGTCTGTATCAGGAGGCCGATGGGTCTGTGGTAGAAGGCTGAAGGCTCAGCGCTGGAAGCCAGGAGTTGATGTCCAAGGTGAAGGCGAGGACTGGAGCTCACCCAAAGGAGCAGAAACTGATCCGTCCTTCCTCATTTCCCCCTTACACCATCCAGGCAACAGACCGCCAGCAGGGTGTGGAATTGCTGAGCCAATTTAGTTAAACTCTTACTCCAGTTGACACAATCAGTCAACCATCACAAAGCCAGCCTGTGTTATTAGCCAAGCCTTGAGGGTTCAAAATTAGAAATGCTAGTGTTAAAAGGAATAATGCTAGTGGCAGCAGATAATAATGTACTATATATTCTGCTTCCCATAGATTATCATGTAGTGTTTATACCTGGTCTTGGACTAGGCACCACATTTTATAAAGCAAAAAGCTGCAATTCAGAGATGTTAAGCCATGCACCAGGCCACACAGCTTGTAGGCGACCTCTCAGAGTTGAACTCAGGTTTATCTCACTCCAGTCTTATCCCTTACCTTGGTAAGCAGGGCCCTGACTTGGGTGAAACTTTCTACTTGGATGTTTTGGCCTTTGAATGTTTTTATGGCTTCATTTGGAAACTTCAGTCGGCTGAATCTCAGAGGAAAGGTTGATGTGAGAAAGCACATAGGAACCTCATTTTCTTTCCAGAACGTACTGGCAGCTAGTGGGAAGGGCAGTGTAAGCCATCAGGTGGGACATGGGCCCCGGCCTCGCCCGGGACACTCACGCCTACCCAGCAGCAGCCCACAGGCAAGGCACCGAGTGTCCTCTGGCTCTCAGTGTCCAGCTCACAAGTTGTTCTGCCTCCTGTGGGATTTAGGAGAGCTTGACGCCCAGCCAGTAATGCAGCTTTTTGCCATTTGGAGAAATTGTGTGGCTGTTACTTTCCCCTCTTGCCCTCCCAACTTGATATTTTGTCTCTTTTTCTCTTGATGGAGAGATTTAGTATGTGGAAAATAATGTGTGCTTGTAAAAAATTCAAGAAAAATACCTCTAAATTTGGTATATATTATTGTACAACCATTTGAATATACTTAAAGCCCTATAAATAACAGATACTTTAATAAATGAGTTCCTAGAGTTCTGAGATTTGCCGCTTTTATTTGACAGTGCCACATGGGTAAGTAACACTGCTGTGTCCTTTTTAAGGGATGTTGGTATTCCATTGTGCCGGAGTCCTTTAACCTCTAAGTAGCCCCCACTGCTAGCTGTTTATTTAGATTGCTTTCAGCTGTTGCCTATAACCAACCACTATAACTACAGATGTCTACTTGCATGGGTCTTGCCCATTTTTCTTATTATTTTACCAGTATGAATTTATGGAGTCTGATTACACAGCATTCATTTTGAGCTATATTCTGAACTACACTCTAGAAAGCTGAGAATGGTTGGTATTCCCATTGTAATGCATACATATGTTCATTTACCCTGCTGAATGCTGTACTTACTGTTCTTAACCCTTTTCTTCTTTTCTCCTTAGTTGAGTCTTCTTTACACCTGCAAGCCTTCCCCAAGGCAGTTCAGAGCGTCCAATTCTAATTTCTTCTTCCTGCTGGTGCTGTTGATTGGGCTGTGCTTGGCAATTATTCCTCTGACAGTCAGCATGTCCAGGTATATATGACTTGGGTTTCCTAGAACATCACCTTGCTTTGTGACATGTTCTTTGTGGTAAAGAGCCTGTTACATCCTTCTTTGGCTTTTCTCATGATGTTGCACCCACAGAGGTCGTGGAATCCCCCTGGACTGAGCCAGACCCACCTCTGCAAAGCATTTCCTTCTGGAAGCTGGAGTGTATTGGGCCACTTCTGAAACTTAGATGGTTGTAGTCATTGCGAGGGGCCGGATGGACCTTTCCAACCTCATTGCTGAGGACCTTTCATTCTAGTCTCCTTTTGAGTTATTTATTTATTTCTTATTAAAATAAGAAATGGCCATTATGGAGGACTGAGGAGAAAAGCAGAAGGCAGCAGGATGTTGCCTCACTCTGGCTGGTTTGGTTGAGGAACCTTTACTGAGTCCCTTGAATGTGCCAGGTACGGTGCTAGGGACGTGAAGACAGCGAAGACATGGCAGGAGGGATATGCAGCTTCGTGTGGACTTAGGGGAGATCAGAAATGCGCTAAGCATCTGAAGTTGAGAGAGTTGAAACCTTGGGGTACCACTGCCCGTGGCATAACTGTATGCACTAGAATCCTGCAAACTCTTTTTATAAAAGCCAGCAAGTGAATAACTTAGGCTTTCCAAACCACTCGTTCTGCTGTATCATGAGAGCAGACAAAGACAATATATAGAGGGAGAGAGATGACTGTGTTTGAATAAAACTTTATTTATAAGAAACAGGTAGTAGGGCAGATTTGGCTAGGTACATACTTTGCCAACTCTGAGTTAAAATCTCACAGAAGATGTTTCTTGATTTTTAAATTAAAAGGTTAAATATTTAAACCCCTCTCTTAGATTTGAAAAGTTTTAAATTGTTTGATTGTATGTGGTTTTTTTTGTTTTGGTTTTTGTGTGCTTTTTTTTTGGTGTGTGTGTGTGTATGGCTTTTTGAGACAGAGTCTCACTATGCAGTTCAGGCTGGCCTTGAGCTCACTTTGTAGCCGAGGCTGGTCTTAAACTTGCAACGAATCCTCCTGCTTCAGCCTCCTGAGTGTTGGGATTACAGGCATGAATCACTATGCCTGGCTTTATGTGGGTTTTTTTAAGTTGATTTTTTGTATTTTAGTAATTTTTGTATGTGTAAGGAATTAAGCCCAGGGATTTCACACTGAACTACTCCACAGCTCCCTTTCTCATTTTTAAAAAAAAATTTTGAAACAGGATTTTGCTAAGTCACTAAGTTATTCAGGCCAGACTCGAACTTGTGATTTTTCTGCCTCAGCCTCCCAGAGTACTAGAATTATAGGCATGCCCCACATGCCTGTCTGTTATGTAACAAAGTCAAATAGTATAGAAGAGAAAAAGTTGCCAGCATATATAAAACTCTCATTCTTTTCAATATATTTTAGCTTTGATTTTTAAATTAAGAAATATATTCACAAGAGGCAATATTCAAAAATGTGTAAGGAGTTCATTTTCTAATTCTATTTTCCAACTACTTGCTTTCCTTCTGAGATAGTCTGTGTGTGTCTTTTCTCTCTCTGTCACAGAGGTTCTCTAATATCCCATGATATGAATGGACCATAAATTGTTCATTCATTTCCTTAAACTTACGAAGTCCTTTTCAAATCTTAACTTTGTTTTCCCGTTGTAATTTATTTTATGTTTTCTTATATTTTATTTAGAAACAATTTTAAATGTATGGAAAAGTTGAAAAAATAACAAATGCATATGCTCTCCAAGTGGGTGTCTCAGTTGTTCACATTTGGCAGTACTTTCTTTGTGTGTGAGTGATAACGAACCATTTAATTTTGTGTTTTTGTGGGGTTTCGTATGTTTTTGTTTTGTGTACTGGAAACTGAATCCAGGGTGAGTTCTCTGCCCCTGAGCTGCATTCCCACCCTGAACCATGTGAAATTAAGTTGTAGGCACCATGTTTACCTCTAAATATACTTCATCAGGCAGCTCCCAAGAAGACATGGTTTCATGTACTTCCACAATAACATCACAACTAAGAAATTTAATACTAATATCATAATCCTGCCATTTTCAGATTTCTCCAGTTGGCCTCAATTAGTCTTCTTCTAGCTTTATTTTAATTAATTAATTTGTTTAGTTTTTTCTTTGTCTTTGTCTTTTCTTTTTTTTTTTGTACCTGGGATCAAACTCATGACCTTGCACTTGTTAGGCAGGGGCTTATGCCCCTGAGCTAACAAGTGCAAGGTCATGAGCTAGATCCCTGGCCCCTAGTTTTTGTCTTTTTGAGACAGTGTTTCAAGATGCAGTTCAGGCTGGCCTTGAACTCACTTTGTAGCCAGGCTGGCTTCAGAACTCATGGAGATCTTTCTGCCTCAGCCTCCTCAAGTGCTGGGATTATACATGTTTCCCACCACACCCAGCTCTGGCTTTATTTTAAATATAAAAGTCATTGAATTTTCAGCCATTAAGTCTCTTTAGTTTCCTTTACTCTCTTATCATCTGAAGAATCCAGGCCGTCTTTCCTCATCTTTGAATTCAGAGATTGAAGAGTAGAATCCCTGCATTCTGGTCTTGTCTAGTTGTTTTCTGACAGTTTCCTTTAACTTGATCTTCTCTCTTGAATGTCCTGTAAACTGAAAGTCAGGCCTAGAGACTGGATGAAATGTTAGAGTGAGTATTTTGGATCAGAATATCCCAGAAGGCCTAGAAGTCAGGCGGTTCCCCATAGGCCATTGTTGACAAGATATTGTGGGTGTGCAGAGGCGGGCCGCTCAGCCTATGCCTCATGCTGGTCCTAAGCCCCTTGATCCATGTCCTGGCAGCATCCCTTCCTCGAAAGCCTGTGGGCCATTTACCAACTACAATACCACCTGGGAGGTTATCCCCAGCACTGTGACCACCTTCCCCAGCTCGCTGCAGTCTGTAATTCATGGCATCACATCAGAAGCCTTTGCTGTGCCTTTCTTCATGATCATCTGGTAAGTAAGATATCCAACAACCACCCAGTGAGTAATTTCCACTGAGGCAAATGGAGTGTGTGTTAGTCAACTTTCTGTTACTGTGATGAAATATTTGAGATAATCACCTTAAGAACAGAAAAGGTTTATTTGGTTCACAGTTTCAGAGGTTCATTCCATGGCTGCTTGGCCCTGTTGCTTTGGGCCTGTGCCAGCATTAAGCATCATGGTAAGCACATGTGGTGGGCACCTCTTTTCCTTATAGTGACCTGGAAGCAAAAAAAAAGAGGACAGGGACCAGACTGCCAATATCCCTTTCAACAGCAAACATCCTCCCACCAATGACATAACATCCTTCCTCTAGATCCCATTTCTTAAAGGTTTCATCATTTCCTAATAGTGCCATGGGCTGGGGATCAAGCTTTCAAAACATGGATCTTTGTGGGGACATTCCAGATCCAGAATATAACAGATCACCTGCTAAATTTGGCAAGTGACTGAGCTGCTCTGAACCTCATTGATTTTGGGGTCTTTAGAATTCATTACTGGATGATGGTTTTCAGGGACATTCAGTAGGGTGAACCCAGCCATTTCAGGATTTCCTGATTACTTGACCTGTGCTTTATCAGTCCTGTCTGGGCAATTAGATAGGAAACTGCTCCCCTTTCTTTAAATGAAGTTATCTGCTGTTTTCTTGGGGGCTTGCTTCCCAGTTCATGGGCCCTGTCTCTGAAGATAACTCCAGACATCATCCCACTTGAGATCTGGAGCTGCAGAAAAGATAGGAGCCAGTTGTTGACTGCTTTAAATCAAAACTGTATTATACCAACCAGATTTACGTATTCCATTTCACTGATGAAGAGGCCAGAGAGGAGCTCAGTGATTACCCACAGCCAGTTAATGGCACATAGAGCTGACTTTCTGGACATTTTGTTTCTTTCCCCCTCCCTGTTCTGCATGTGCTTGAAAGACACCAACAACCTTTCTAGTAATTTTTAAAGTAAGTGATAAACAGACACCACTGCCACTGCCTAATAAACATTCTGCCAGCTGATTCTCACCCCTTCTACCTGGGGGAAATGAGGTCCTCTCCTTCTCCTTCCCTTTTTTTCTTTATCCTTTCCCCACCCACAAAAGAAAATCTGTGGTGGGTTGCTTTTCTAATGGCCCCCAGATGATGCAGAGCCCTCCTGACTGTCCATTTTGTCTTGCAGCCTCATCATGTTCTACTTCATCGCTCTGGCCGGTGCGCACAAGCGGGTGGTTATGCAGCTCCGAGAGCAGCTGTCTCTGGTAAGGAGACACAGGCCACACAGGATCGAGGTTGGTGACAGCATAGCAGGACACTGTACAGAAAGTGACACTTCTTGCAGGGAGGGAGTAGCATTGCTGTAGCCTCTGCTCACTGCCCTGCCCCAAAACCCTGCCTTGTGGTCCCAGCTGCTACAGCTTCATTTATGCATTTGCCTCACCTGTATCTTCACCGGGAGTGACACAACTGCTGAATACTTAAGATAAGTTCTGATAACTATTAACTGCTTTGAAGATTCTAAAAACAAAGTATTCAAGGGATGAGTGGGCTGTCACTGCTGTTGCTGGTGGGTGAGGAAGGTCTGTTTAAGGAGGTGACACTGGAGCTGAGACTTGAACGACAGGAGGGACTGTTTACTAGAAGTTCCAGTGAGAGATGAGAGATACAGGGTGTGAGGGAACAGGACAAGCCTAAGGGGTTGGTGTGGCTGGAGGGTCATGAATTCAGGTCTGGGGCAGGAGGATACTGTGATGGCAGTCAGGGCCATAGTATCGTCTGGGGGATCTGTTGAAAGTTTGGGTTTTGTTCTGAGTGTGATGGCAAACCACTGGAGTGTGTTAAGTGGATGGTTCACAAACACTTCTGCTCATGAATAGTAATTGCATTTGCAAACAGAAGTGTTGCGCAAAATTTTGGTTCTGTTTGCAAACTCTACATTGGGTGATGACCATGACCATGGCCATCTTTCCCGCACAAGCATGAACGCCGCCATCTTCCCCAGAATCTTGGAGCAAATGAGGTTTGTGAGCCGAAGCACCACTGTGTATGTTATATATGTATATGTGTGTGTTTATGTTTTTTGGGCTTTTTTGTTTGTTGCTTTTCAAAATAGGGCCACACTATATAGTTTAGGCTGGCCTTGAGCTTTCTATGTGTAGCCCAGGCTGACCTAGAATTTAGGGCCTCAGTTTCCTGAGTGCTGGGATTACATCACTACACCCAGTTGATGAGGTATATTATTTAGAAGATCATTGGCTGCTACTGTGGAGGGATCCAAGCAAAAGAGATCAGATCACACACTCCATTGCAGGAGTCCAGGGGTTGGACTCTTAACCCTAAAATGAGAGGTAATTCATTGGATAGAAATTATGATACTTGTGTCCAAATATATGACATGACTTTTGAACTCATTTCTCTTTTAGGAAAGTCGTGACAAGCGCTATCTAATCCAGAAACTAACAGAAGCACAACAGGATCTGAGGGACCAATAGCCTGGGCGTGAGGATGCTGTGTGTCTGCTTCTCAGTTGGCCTCCTGACTGTTGAGCCCTACAAAATCTACCTGGCTTCTGAATGGAAATTTTAAAATATATTTCTCTGGAGTTTTAAAGAGATCGACTCCCTGTGCACAGCTGTGGTGGCTGTATTTGCATAAACCAGCCCCTACGGAAGACTTTCAGTGACTTGGAAGTGCAGGGTGAAACCCAGGTCTTTACCTGTACACTCATAACTCAGTGATGACTCTACCAAAATAGTAACTCCTCTAGGAGTTTTACAACAAAATCAGAGACACTTAATATATTTTTATAAAAAGCTTGTTTTATGTTGTCTTCCAAAGTTAACCCGAGGTCATTTGTTGCCAAAACTCCGTTCTTTTCTTTGAAGCTGGTTTTAGGAGTTTAGTCTGAGGAGTTTTCCTGAAAAGCTGTGGCTCTCAAGAATGACTCTACTGACTTAAAATGAAACCTGAATTTTTTAAATTAAAAGAATCCTTGAGTCATAATGCCTGCAACAGGTGGTAAGAACATGAAGCAGATCATCACATAATTTTGGCTACATGATAGTAGTCAGGAGAAAAGCCAGTCCCTGCTGTTGAAAAGCTCTCCCTCCGTATCCTGATTAACCTTCACAGAGTGGGGGACTGTGGCAAGCTGGCAGCCCTGGCTTTTTGGCATTCTAGGCATTTTGTTGTAGCCTTTTTTATTACTCAGGGGGAAGCTGCCTTTAGTTACCCATAAACCTTCAGTTTCTGTCTGGTCTGCAATTGTGAGACTTGACAAAGAACCCTTACCCTTTGAAATTAAGAGGCAGACAAAGTTTGTATCTCAGTCTTCCTAAGTTCTGTTTTTTCCCTCCTGCACTGAGATGTCCATTTCTGAAGGACACACACACACACAGACAGCATTTCAGAGCCAGGCTTTGGGGTTGGTTAGTATTAGAGCTATGGGTTATGTGCGTATGTGTTCTGTGGTATGGTTTACAGCTCAGCCTTTTCATTATACCAGCCTGTGACATATACCAAGCTAGACTGGATGCTGGTTTCTTAAATACACATTTCCATATTTTAAAGGCTGCTGTTTGTTTTTCTGTGCTTAAATTTTAAGTGCACATGCCCTTACTATGCAAAACATTACAAAAGCACAATATCTAAGATTTTTGTTAGAGTAAAAAATAAATGCAATAAATACCTCATCATAAGTGTACCTAAATTTGACATCATGAACCATTGAAGTGAAGCCTGTTATTATTTATTGCCATCAATTTTCATTTTAATATCTTTGAAATCTTTGTCAATGTATTTTGTCAAGTTTCCTTCCATTGTTTTTCTTCCTTTCATTGGCTCCAAACCTTTTGTTGACTTTTAAGCTTTTGGAAGCTACTGCTAAAAATAATTCCCACCCAACCTCTAGTTTCCCTGTTACTCTAAGATGATTTGCTCCTTGCTCTGGGAAGCAAAGAAGATTGTCACAGCTTATCACATTGCTTGAATCCTGGTCCTTTGTCACAACCACGTGCCTGTGTGCGTTGGGGTGCTACGGTTGGAACCCAGGTTCTCAGCATGTGCTTTTGTACCGCTGCTACTTCCTGACCTCAACAGAACTATTTCTCGCTCTTGTATACAGTACTGTTATTAACATGGGAAATATTTGTACCTATGAGACTTGTATTTTTCAATTTTTTCCCATCTGGTTAAGGTTTATGAGATTTTAAATCATTTAATAATTGGTATAAATCTTGAGTAATCAAAAAATTCCCAAATTTTCATTTAAACAAATTTTGGCATTTGGCTGTATAGCACCTTTGTAATGTGCTTGCCTTCAGCATGTTCCTGAGGGCAGTCCAGGTTTCAGTGTGTGTTGTAAAAAATAAAAATACATTGTGCTGTTTTCATTTTAAAAGTGATAGTGAAATATGCTAATTAGCATTTAGTTTTATTTAAGTGCTGCTAACTTGGATCCCTCTTACTTGAATTTTTATATGTTTTGATAACTAATAATGTTAGGTTATATATATATATATATATATATAATTTTTGAAGTGAAGCTGTCTAACATGTACATTAAAACTACTGACCAAATAATGTCTTGATTGTTTTAAAATGTGATGTGTATATTTGAACTCATCAATGCATCTTGTTTGGAATCAAGTGATCATGGAAACCTGTAATAGTTTGTAAAGTTGTTCTTCACCTTTTCCTAAAATTAGAGAGATGAACGAGTGTTTATCGCAATAAGATGAGTACTTTTAAAGCTCCTTGGCTCTATTGAAATCAGAGCAAGTGTACTTGTGAACTTTAAACTTAAAAAAGACAACATCTGACTCCCCAGAGAAAACTACTGCTAACAGTTATTTGATTCTGCCAGAAAACTTTAAAACTTAATATTCAAAGAGATTTATGTTTGGATGTATGATGTGAAATACACATTTCTGAGCTTCTTCCTGTCCCCTCTTAATAATATGTACTTTGCATGTAAGCAGCTACTCCATTTTTTTAAGTGACTGCATTGCATCCCACTGTATGATGTATGTGACCACAGATAAAAACTTGGATTGTTTTTACCTCATTTCCCTTCCTTCACCACTGAAAGATGGAATTTTAAAAGCTCCCCTGCATGGGCTGGGGATTTAGCTCAGCTGCATAAGCGCCTGCCTTGCAAGCACGTAGTCGTGAGTTCGATCCCTGGTACTGGTAAAAAGGAAAAAGACCCCCCCCCCAAAAAAGCTCCCCTGCAAACAATTCTGTTTTGCTCCATTCTGCTATAGGCCCTTGTTCATCTTAAAGCAGACTTGCACATTCTTGTAATCACAAATGTTCTTATCCTAGCAAAGAGAAGAATCCAGTTAGGCAAGCCTTTAGTTTGCAAAATCCCTGCAGCTACAAATTTGAGTGTGGTCACTCAGATTTGTGTTAAGTATTGGAGAACAAAGAAATTAATTTTGCCAAGTAGTCTTATAAACTCTGACTTTTGGGAGATGAGAACTTCTGAATGTATCTTTATATACTGTGTGGCTTTACTAGTATGTTCCACTTCGTGTATTTCCTGCCCCAAGCGTAGGATTTGCTTGAGACATGCAATATGACGGCTTTCTGCTTGCTTAATGGTGATTTTGTGCAAATGTCTCCATGAGATATAAAGTTCCTTTATCTTTAAAATAGAAGAATTAGAAGAATATATAAATTTGCTTTTATATTTGTAGGCTGAATTAGGAAGAGTCTGCTTTTTCTTTTTGAAATTTTGTTTTCTCAGTAGAAAAAAACTTGTTTACCATAAAAAATATGGAGAACAATGAAAGCTAGAAAAAAAATTAAAATTACCCATAAGCACCATGTATGTACATTCACTTAATTTTGACAAGACTGCTTTTAAGGGGTAAGAAAGATTGGAAGGAAAGGAAAAAATTAGTATTCTCACTTCTTTTGTACGTGTGTTCACTTTTGTTATCAGAAGTTCTTTATAAACATTTCAATGGGCTAGCCAATAGCATGCATACAAAACATAGTTTTTAACATTCCCTTGCTGCTTAACCCTTTACTTTCAGAATTTCATAAATCTCAACTTTTTTTCCCTTAGGGACAGAAACATACAAATGAGATTACAACAAGGGTTTTGAGCATGCTTTTGAGAAGCTAGTTGTATTTATTTTCTTATTTTAGTGATGCTGGAAATTGAACTCAGGACCTTGCACGTGTTAGGCAGTGCTCTACCACTGAGCTACATGTCCAACCCCAAAGCTGACTTTATGCTTTCAGTGGCTTTGTATTAAAATGTCACCTTGACACAAAGTATTAAGTATCTCGAGTTCATCATAATTTTAAATTATTGTATGCCAATTTAAACTGTAGAATTCATAAAATCAGCAACTTAATAGGTCAGGTGAGGTGGAACATGTCTCATCATGGTGGGGGACTAAGGCAGGAGTCTCCTAATTTCAACTCATCCTGGGTAGCCCAGTCCTCCGGATGATTGGCACATATCACCACACCTCACCAGATACACATCTTGTGATTTTTTTCTACTCTCACAAACATTCCTTGTTTGAAAGACTACCTCTGTTGGGCAGGACCCTAGAAGTAGGCCTACAGTATTAATGGATATGCACTTTTAAAAGTATAGGTTGATACATTTCCTTCTCGACAAAAAAAAATTGCGCTAGTATACATGCATGACAACAAATACAGTAAAGTGGGTACAATATATATGTATGGCCAGTAATTTAGAAAATTTAAGAGGACTAGGAAGAAGTTTAAAGTCAGGTTAGTCCACCTAGCAGTAATAATATTGACTCTGTGCTGAGTTTCAGTATGTAGTTCATATTTTTATGTGGATGTAGGATACAAATAGATTTTTTTAAAGAATCTAGTAAAACAAAATACAATGGCTCTGTCAACTCTAGGTCCACTTTCCTAGGAATTTAGGTGAGACCCCTTGATCCCGTCTGGATTTTTAAAAAAGCAACCTAGCGTTCTTTGTCTCTATAGCAATCTAAGTTTCTTTTATATCATCAGTCTCGGAGTAGTTGATAAACAATGCTCCAATAGAATGCGTTCGCTTATTTCCAACCAATCAAAAGGCAGTGTGTGCCTAAGGGCATTTCATTTGTGCCAGCGTAATTACCGTCTTCCCTACGTTTTTTGCGTCATCGACCTGCGTCAAGAGCACGATTGGTCTACCGCGCTTAACCCAGTAGCTGCTTTTGTTGTCCCGGCAATGATTTGCGCCGGGGCGGCAGCAGCTCCTGCCCTATGGCGGCTGTGCACCGGTGCCCGGTGGCCCTTGTCAGGTAAAAGGAGACGCGCTGCTGGAATCCTGTGTTGGGCGGGTGAGCCTGGAATTTTGGTTTGAGCCTTGGGTCGGAGAGGTCAGGCGGAGACATGCTTGTACGTCACATGTGCGACAGCGCTGCTGCGAGACGTTAGCCTTGGGGCGGGGTTCATAGTACGCAGCGAGGTGGGATTGGGAGCTGGGATCCACCTGTGGCGCTTCGGGCCTCTGGTCAGTTTGATGATTGGGGAGTATCCTAACACACCTGTGCCGTGGCGTCACTGCAGGTGTGGTCAGCGTTCCAGGCCGCGGACAGTTTGCAGCATTAAAAGTTCAAGGACCCAGTTGTTTTCCGTTGTTTTTGCTTACGGTGTTTCAGGCAAAGTGTAGCCCTGCCAGCACCGGCTTCCCTTGGGAACCTGAAGTGCATAGTGTCAGATCCCACCCAGGACCTACTTGGTGGGTGTCTGCGTTTTATAAGCTCTTTGAGATGTGCCCTGTAAAGTTTGAGAACCACAGGTGTAGTGGAAAGAAGCATTGAATTTGGAGTGGCGAGACATGGGTTTGGATTCTGTTTCCCTTTTTCACCCTAGTTGACTCAAAACTGTGAGGTCGATTTGGTGCTCCAAGTTAAATCTTTGTGTATAACCGTTAAGAGTTTTGCTTTATTATCGGCTGCTTTTGATTCTTCTCTGTGTTCTTTGTATAATAGTAACCCATTTTAAAATTAAGTAATTTCAAAAGAAATATGGTAATGCCAGTATGTATGCCCCGAATGCATGGATAATTATTTTAAAAAATACTGAAAGTATACTGAAAAATTTAGGAAATTGTATTATACTGTTACTGAGGCTTGAAGCCAAGACCATCTTTCTATTAAGAAAGATTAGGTTAAATTAGTATTAGGGTATAACACACATTACATGTATATGGGACTATTCTCCTTGATAAATCAAAAGTGTTAGAGAATTTGAAGTAACTTGCAATAGCTGTTATATAATGCATACCCACAGTCACTTAAAGTCTTCAGTATACTACTTCAAATCTCCTTGGTAGTGCCAGTAGAGTGTTCCACATATTGGGAAAACATAAAGTTTATGTCTGAGAACTCCTAGTACTGGGCCTCAATTTTATTTTAAAGCATGTTGTATACAGTCAGAACACAAAGGGCTGTTGAATGTTCAGTGAGCATAACCAAAGAGTAACATTCATTTTTATTTATAAAGTTACTCTGTTTCCTGAATCTCATTTCATCTTCATAGTAACTCAGTAAGAAAAGTTTTATGTATGCTTTCCCTTAAAAAGAAAATAGGCTGATACTGGGAATTTTATATGTAAAAAAATCTATTCTGATTAGTTCAAAGATTCATGTTAGAGATTATATGCACATTTTCTTTTTTTCCTTTTTTAGTTGCACATAGTCCTTTTATTCTTTGCAGCACAAGTGATTTTTACCTGCAGACCCAAGGATATGCATTTTCTAACTGTAGGTCTAGGGCTTTCTGTCGCCTGTCCTATGACCATGGGCATACCTTGTAGAAACTGCAAAAGATAGCTATGTCAAATACTGTGATACCCAAGCCCCTCACCCCAACCCTGCAAAAACCCCATTTATTGAATCTCTAAGTTTGGAAATGTAATGCAGTATGAGGAAACAGTTCACTGAATTTTGCATGCAAACATAATCCTCTCTTTACCTATAAGCTGGTTGTGCGTTTGAACTCATCCTACATATTCTCATCTCCTGCTCCTTCTCAATAAGTAATTTTAGTTTTTTTTTTTTTCAAGAGTACCAGATTGTCTCTTTTTCTGCGTTGACATGTATTTGGCTGGTGATAACAAGTGAAAGAATAAACAAGATTATTTTAAGAAATAGGGCCAGATCATCAACTTCCATTGCTAAACTCCCTCTTTCTATAAGGGCATCAGTCTACTGGAAGTGCTATCTGTTATACTTGGAGGCAAAAAGTTGACAGACCACTTTGACTTTTCCCAAGGTCTCAACTTGTTCTCCACATAAAACTTGGTCATGAAACACAGTAACCCCACTGTCTGATGGCACAGGCCTGATTGACACATTACACTTGGCAAAACTTGGATCTTATGTAATTCTTGATGTCTGGTTCCTGCACTCTATCTAATTTCGTTTGTCAGATGGGCTTAATGAGATGGAGCAAGTCATTCTGAGGAGGAGGCCAAAGCTAAATCACAATGCTTCAGAACCCCGCGTCCATGCTCCTTTGTTTAACGTGTAGCATTTAAACTCCAGTTAGTAGAAAAGTTCAAGTTCACAACCACCATACATTCCACCAAACCTACTCTAAGATCTTGTGTCTTTTGAGCCTTTGCAATGAAATAACCATAGAAATACACAAACAGGTTTTTCTCCCACATTTTCTGGCTTTTGAAATTAGTCTGAGAGAGAACACGATCTAAAAACAGACGGTGGCCATAGTTTGAGAGCACTGACACTTGTATCCAAGTGATACTTGTGAAGATTGAAGTTCACATTACAATTAAAGGACATCTGGTTTCCATTCTTATAACTGTAGATGAAAATGAACCCCTCTGAGAGGAAAAAAAAACTTTTAATATTCCTTGATTCAGTGCTCAAAGAAAATATAATCAAATGATGTTAACCATTTGATATTTTTTTTTGTCTTTTTCGTTTTTATTGGTACCAGGGATCGAACTCATGACTGCCTGCTTGCAAGGCAGGCGCTTATGCTGCTGAGCTAAATCCCCAGCCCCCAACCATTTGATACTTTAAAAAATTAAATTCAATCTGTCCTGAAAAATAATCCGTTTTGAAGACAAGAAGCACATACATGAAGACAAAGAAAATGCATAAATTCTAAGGTGGGGCTCTCAAAATCACATGTCTCCAGGATCTGGCATTTTAAGAGAACTTAAATTCGTGGTCTTCAACCTTGGTAGTGGAGATTCATGCAGAGCTTTTTTAGACTATTGGTGGCCCAGATTGGGGAAAGCAGCTGGAGGACATGGACACCATGCCCTTCTTGAAACAGCTGTCACATCAAGAACACAGACTTATTTGAGATCTCTATACATTTCAAGTGGTGTCAGAAGCCCAGATCTTAGGTAAAATCCATCCCTGTGTTAATACTCCAGGTGAAAGGGAATACACATGGAAATGTCCAGCCGACAGAAAGCTCGTTTGGGACCTTTGCTCTAAAGTGCCCCTTTCGTCTGTCTATAAAAGAAAATGGCTTGATTTTTCCTGAGAGTAAGGAAGAATTTATACTTGTGTTGCAGCTTATGCCAAAAAAATCAGCATCAGATTTTGCAGTTCAAGAATGACCTTAGACAACATCAATCGGGCAGCTGTGGATCGAATAATCCGGGTGGATCACGCAGGTGAATACGGAGCGGATCGCATCCTCGCAGGGCAGATGGCCGTCCTGGGCCGGACGAGTGTTGGCCCAGTCATTCAGGTGGGCATTTCTTTGTCTTTGTGGTGTAGTCTCCCGAACAGGTAGATCTGAAGCCCTAGAATAATCACGTTAGGTCATACATTCCCTGGAGAAGCACTGCTGTCCTGGAGAGTGAAAATTGGCATGTTACTGTAAAGCACAGATACATGAGGTATCATAAAAAATACAGGGTGCATTTAAAATGTTTAAAAATTATTACAATAAAAGACACATTGCCATCAATCCCCCGGAACGCAGTTACCTCGTCATTCTTGCCACTTTCTGAGGAAGTGGTGAAGTCTTCTTTGGTGAGTGTTTTTAGGTATGGTGTCATGGCTGCTTCAGTGTCAAAGTGTTTACCTTTCACGGTCATTTGGACCTTGGGGAAGAACAGAGGATGTGTGGTGCTGCATATGGTGAATAGGTGGATGAGGTCCTGCCATGATACTTTTTATGAACCTGCTTTTCCTTTGGTGGGCACTTGGCATTCACCATTTTTAAAAATCATGTCCCATAAAGACACACAGGAAGATTTCAGTATTGCTGCAGAACTTCTTCATCTGATGTCGTACAGAAATGGAAAAGGTAGCAGTCTTCAGCCTTTCTGTTTGCATTTTGCTTCCACAGAGAGGCCCTGGAGCTTTCTTCAGGTGCAACAGGAGGCCTTTTGAATGCTTGCCATTTCTTCTTTTTTTTTTTTTTTTTTTTACAGAAAATGTGGGATCAAGAAAAGGCCCATTTGAAAAAGTTCAGTGAGTTGATGGTTGCATTCAGGGTCCGGCCGACAGCTCTGATGCCTCTTTGGAATGTGATGGGCTTTGCGCTGGGTATGTATCTGAGAGAAGTGCCCACCGGGCTCAGGGAGCTGGATGATGTCGCCTGGTACCTCAGCCAGAGTTCTTGCTCTGACCTTGTACAACCTGTTTAATTTCCTTATATTTTCCTAAAGTTAAATTGGTTGAATTTCTCTCTTTTTTTTTTTATCAGTACTTTTATAGTTAGAAAGGACAGTAAAACTTAACACAGGGAATAAAACTGACATAATCCACTTGCAGCCCTATACTGTTCTTAGACAAAAATTCTAAACTTGAAATCTGTGGTCCTTTAAAAAGGGAGACTAAAGAAAAGTAGTGTAGGAGATCAAAGACATATTCTGCCCAAATGTAATTCCTCTTGATGTACTTAGAAAACTGAAAATGTATTGAAAGGGAAGAGCTTTCTTATTATGTGCCTCCAGGTTCTCCTGGACCTGGTACCACCTCTAACAGTGCTCCTCTACCCAGTGACTTTGCCCTCATGAATATGCATGGAAAAATCTCTTTTTTCCCCTGATACCAGTAATTGAAATCAGGACCTTGTGCTTTCCAGGAAGGCACTGTGCCGCTGAGCTGTATCCCTTACCCTAAAGCAATAGCTAAAGATATTTTCAGTGGGTCACAATTTAGGGAGTGCTACTTGCATCTAGTTGGTAGATGTCAAGGAAGCTGCTAAATATCCATCAGGGCGCAGTGGTGCTGAGGCTGTGAGAGCTTGGCCTAATTGAGCAGCCTTACCAGTGGTATCGGTCCCATCCTTTACTCTTGAGTTTGACAATTTCAGGGGCAGGAACCGCCCTGCTTGGGAAGGAAGGTGCGATGGCCTGCACTGTGGCAGTGGAAGAGACTATAGCACATCACTATAACAACCAGATCAGGATGCTGATGGAGGAGGATCCTGAAAAGTATGAGGAACTCCTGCAGGTGACTGATTGCATCTTCTCTGGATGGGCTGGTGAGGGAAGAAAGGGAGAAGGACAGCTGCTAAAATGAAAGAGTTTAAGAATTTTAGATGATGATTGAGATGCAGGCTTCAAGGTTAGCATCTCATTTTAAAGGTGGGCAAACTAAGGGATAGAGAGATGGAGCTGCCTGCCCCAGTCACACAGCGCAGGCAGAGTGAGGACTAGAAGCTGTGGGTCCCGAGCCCAAGCCTGTCAGTTTTTCTCCACTTCTGCATCGCTGCTAGCTTCTGAGCAAACGCTGTGAGCATGATGACTTAGATGAAATGTGTGAAGTAACAGCTTTAATTTTTTAGTTTAGTTTTTGTTTTGTTTTGTTTTTTGAAACTGCATCTCCTAGTGTTTCTCAGGCCGGCCTCAAACTCCTGGGCTCGTGTGCTGCTTCTGCTGCAAGCAGAATCCCAAGTAGCTGGGGTTCCAGGCATATGAGAACACATCTAGCTCCAAAGGAACTGTTTAATTTTAAAAGTCTAAATCAGATGTTGGCAGACTCTGGCTTGTAACCACACCTTTTTCTGTAAATAAAGTTATATTAGAACCTGGCCACACCCAATATTTGCATGTTGGGGCTGCTTTTCCTGTTACAGAGTAGAGGATTGTAGTTGCAGCCTGCAGGCTTGAGATCTTTCCTCTCTATCATTAGACAAGAGGAATGGATGAGGGGGAGGTTTGAGGGGGTGTAAGGCAGTGTGATAAGGGGGATGGATAGGATCAAAATGGGGTGTATGTGATGGAGGGAGAAAAAGAGAGAAAGCTTTTTTTTAAAAAAAGGTTTTATTCTCTGGTCCTGCATAAGAGTAAAATGTTTGCCATGGTCTTTGATGAAAGTATAATGACTTGCTTCGATTTCTTCTTATTTAACCAGCTAATAAAGACTATTCGAGATGAAGAGCTTGAGCACCATGACACAGGCCTTTACCATGACGCAGAACTGGTAGGGACCTGCTGTTACTCCCGGTACTTTAGGGATCCTTATTTGGGGATCCATGTTTGGGGGAAAGAGGTTTCTGTTCCCACATACATTTTTTTTTTTTTTTTTTTTTTGTCTTTTTCGTTTTTATCAGTACCAGGGATCAAACTCACGACTGCCTGCTTGCAAGGCAGGTGCTTATGCCGCTGAGCTAAATCCCCAGCCCCTCCCACATACATTTTTAATTGATAGACTAAAGCAAGCAGACTAGTCTCATGTGGCACAAAGCAGACAACCAAGAGTGGGAGTCCTGTGTCTTGTTCTGTCTCTCATCCTTTTCCTGAGAGCCACTTTCCCCTTTTCTGTGAGACACCGGATGCTTCCAATGTTTTGGCAGTAACAGACACATTCCCATCTTTTGAATAATTTTTGCCCCAAATTAAACTGCTTCTCAGGTCGCATTTTTTAGCCAGAGCAGTTGTGTGTTCAGTTAACAACCAAAATTGAGCATATGGCATGTTTCTTCGGTTGCTTTCTCCCATTCAAGTACTAACCAGGCCCGACCCTGCTTACCTTCCAAGATCAGACTAGGTCGGGCGGTTCATGGACTCTTCGGTTGCTTCCTGAGCACCTGTGTGCATGCATGTGTGCGCATGCGTTTGCCCAGTCCTGAGGATGGAATGCAGGCCCTCAGGGTGCTAGGCCAGCAGCCTATCACTGAGCTATATCCACAGCCTCTTGTTATTTTTAATAGGCCCCTGCATACACCGTCTTGAAGAATGTTATCCAAGCCGGATGCCGTGCAGCGATATATTTATCAGAAAGATTGTGAAACATGGCTGTTCTTGTCTGTAAAAGATGGTCGGTAACGTGTGACATTTACAGAGAACGTGTTGTACAAATATTACTGTGTGCATTTTGTTAATAAATTATAAGAGCATTTTTTGCATTAATAAAACTCTTCAGTGTTGGGTTTGTTGTTGTCATGCCGTAATGCTGACAGTTCACCAGGTGTTTTCAAATTAAAGCAAACAGATTGGTTCTTCTTTGATTGGTCTCTGAGTTGATTTTGTCCTGAACCATTAAGAGGACCTTACCCAGGACCCAGGACCTTACCTTGCACATGCCTGGCAAGTGCTTTAGTGCTGTGCTATACCACAGCCTAAGCAGCTGGAATCTTTAAGAGGAAAAAGAGTTGAGAGAGAGAGACAGAGAGAGAGGAGAGAAAGAGAACATGAGAGTATTTAAACTCACTAAACAAGGCTATGAAATCAAATCAGTCAAAGATAATCATTGTTTTCATTTTGAGTTGTGTATGGCATGGGTGAGAAGACACTATGGTTCTGAATCTTTGTGTCCTCCCCAAAATTCGTGTGTTGAAGTCTTCACGTCAAAGGAGATGGTATCAGGAGGTGGGACTGTGGGGAGGTGACAGGTGGTGGAGGTAGAGCGTGAATGGAGTTAGTGTCTTATGAAAGAGGCCTGGGGACGACCCTCACCGCTTCCACCCTGTGCCACAGCAGGTAGCTGACTCTGAGATGGGGAACCCTCACCAGACACAAATCTGCCAGCACTGTGATGTTGGGCTTCACAGCCTTCACAACTGTGAGCAGTCAGATTTTGTTGGGTATAAGCTCCCTACTCTGGCATTTTGCGATAGCAGCCAGAATAGACTAATATGGGGGATGGGGATAGTATTTATTACAGAATTATTTTTGCAAAGTTAAATTATAATCATTTGTTTAAGGTCCATTACCAAAATAATGAACCAATACTGTCTAAGCTCTTCAAACTTGGTGAAATATTTTCTGATTTTCAGATCTATAAAACCTACATCTCTGGTTCTCCTCTTTAGCTACACATTATTAGAATGATCTTCGGAGCTTTTAAAAACTTTCAGTTTGGTCAGGCATAGCGGTGTACACCTGTCATCCCATTTACTTGGTAGGGTGAGGTAGGGGAATCACTTGAGTCCAGGAGTCAGAGGTCAGCCTGGGCAGTGGAATGAGTTTGTGGACCAAATCTTTGATTTAATTAGGGTAGGGCTCACTTGGCCCTGTTTGGGGCTAGGATCCCCAGAATAGACTGCAGGCTGCTTGTCAAAATGAGCTGCGTCTCATAGGTATCTGCCTTCCCCACCTCCACCCCACGACTTGCATTTCATCAGCACCTAAAAGTATAAGCCACAAAGAAAACAAGAGTTAGTTGCACCTCATCAAATGAACAGTTTTGTGCTTAGACACTCAAGAAAACAAAAAGAACCCAACCCATGGAATGGGAGAAAATACTTGCTATCATATTCTGTTGAGGGACTTCCATCTACAATATGTAAGGAATATTTAACAATGAAAAGACAAATAGCCCAATGTAAATCAAGGCAAAGGATCTGAATAGTCATTTCTGCAAAGAACATACACAAATGACCAATAACCATATAAAAGGAAACTCAACATTATGTCATTAGGACAAACAAAAATGAGATGCCACATCATAATAGGATGGCTGCAGTCGAAGAGCTAGAAAATGACAATTGTTGGCCATGATGTGGGGAAATTGCAGTCCTCTACTAAAACACTGATGAACTGAAGAAGAAAATGTGGTCCGTTCTCACAATGGGATATTGCTCAGCTATCAAAAGGAATGAATCGTGAATACATATGGTGCTGATTAATATTCATTGTCAACTTGACTGGCTTAGGAGACTTCTGGAGAAGAAATTGGGTCATGGGATGCTGTACTTCTCAGTGGATTAATCTGTGGATGTTCACAGCTAAATTAGGAGGTAGTGCCCACCTAAACGGGGTGGTCACTTTGGGTGCAGCTTGAAATGTGCATCTCTTGCTGGTCCTCTTCTCCTGTGCTCCACTTCCTGGCCACCATGAGGTGAGCAGCTTTGCTCGACCATGCCCTTCTGCCATGATATTTCTGATTTGGAGCCAGTCTGCATGGACTGCAACCGCTGAAACTGAGCAAAAATAAATCTCTAAATCGCAGATATTGGGCATTTTATCACAGCTATGGGAAAGCTGGCCGATACAGGTGCTATGGAGTGGACGAACCTTAAAAACATGCTTGGCTACAGAGTTTCAATTTGGGAAGATGAAATAATTCTGGAGATAGGTGGTGGCAATGATCGCATAGCAATGTCAACTGAACCGTATACTTAAAAGCGATTAGGACAAATTTGCATTATATATATTTTAGCACAATTTAAAAAATGCTTGGGGTAAAAGAAGCCAAATACAAAAGGCCAATTATCATTTACTTATATAAAATGTCCAGAATAGGCTAATCCACAGAGATTGCAAGGAGGCTGAGTGGAGTATGGAGCTGGGAGTGATGGGAGGAGATGAGGAGTAACTCCTAACTGGATGATGAAAATGTTCTGGTTGGTGATTGTTGTTTAACCTTGGGAACACAGTTCAGCCCATGGACATTACCTTTGAAGTTATAAATATTCTGGCATGGAAATCATAACAATACAAAACAGATCATACAGGCTTATGTGCTTATGCTGTGTTTGAAAGCAAATTTCAATCCAGGATGTTGCATCCAGGAAACAGTGTTTTTAACTTACCACCCTTCAGGCCACCAGAGCATGAAGGAGCCTTGATCTTCTGCAGTTTGGCACTAGCTCTTGCCTTCCCCTGTTCAAGCGAGTTTTGTTAGTACTGCAGGCAGGAATCTTAGTCATATGAAGGCAGTGTGCACGATCCTTATTAAAAGCCCAGATTGGCTGCTGCTTGTTTAGCTAACCCTTCAGAATTGATGGCTGATGTTTTATGCTTCTGAGAGCTTCCAGAACAAGGCCAGAGAGATTTTCTGAATTCCCTTTTGATTGTTTTTAATTCCATTTCGGCTTGTCCTTGTGTATTAACAAGGTAATCTTGTCTTTCCCTTATTTCACTGCTCTGACCTTTCAGAGGAAATGTGATTTTAACATTGGATGTGATCCAAAGATGACGCTAGGATGACAAAGGATGTTATTCTTGCGAGCAGTGTAGTTCCAAAGTGGCGATCTGAGCTAAAGTTCTTTGCTTGTCTTTGATCCTCTATTTGAAATGTGGTTTACAGGCCAATAGCAGCAGTATCACTTGGAAGCATGTCAGAAATGCAGAATCTTGGGGTCCTCCCTGGACCTATTCAATGGGAATCTGCATTTTAGAGTATGTCCACAAGTTCCTCGGTATTCCTCTATTGGATGGAGCTTAATTTCCCTTGCCTTGAGTTTGGGCTGTATGCAGTACCTTGAAATCAAATACAAACTGAATATAAGTAAAAAGTAAAGCAAAAAAAAAAAAATGTAAAAACCCTACACTTTCAAATACACGTTCTAGAAATATCCACCACTAATAATTTAATGTGTTTATTTCTAGACCCATTTTAAAAATCTTTTATCCATATACATACACGTTTGGGTTTGCATTCCCCACAGGAAACTGCACTGTACATCCTGACAAGCAATTCGCGCTGTTCAGACAGTGGTCTTTGCCCTAATTACATAGTCTCCCGCTCTCCTTTGTCACCCCACTCCCACCATCTGTGCATACTGGGTCATCATCTACCCTGCAGGGCCTGTACCCTTCTAAGAGCCAAGGGCTGATTTGCTGAGTTCTCTAACCTGGCAGGCAGGTGGCGAAGCCTGGGTCACCTGGTTCCAGAGGTTACAAACTTCACCACTAGGGCACTCTGCACCTGCATTTGCTCTCTCCTATGGCTAGGCATCTGAGCTATATCTGATACACTTCTGGAGACCAGCGTGCTTTGTTTGTTTTACCAGAGTTCAAATCCTTTGAACTGAGCTACACCCTCAACCTTTTTTTAAAAGAGAGATTTTTGTCTCTCTTTTATTTTGAGACAGTCTCACCAAATTGCCCAGGATGGGCTCAAATTTGGGGATCCTCCCGCCTAAGCCTTCCCACAGCGCTGAGAATACAGGTATGCGTCACCACGCCTGTAATGTGTATTGATACTTCAGGGTAACATGTGAATTGTGGGAGCAAGGTTTATAGCCCTTCTGGAACCCCCACCTCTGTTTGAGAGTGTCTGAAAACCCTAGATTTTATTCCACTTCTTTAAGAGCCTTCTGAAGACCCCTAGTCTGGGTGACTTAAGAAAAGTATGACCTTTTCCAACTCAGGAAGCCAAAGAAACCTTTCAAAGTGGAGCTTCAGCCTCAAACCCCCTCATTTGTAACGCTAACGTGCCCAGCAACATCCGTTTTGGGAACACAGGGCTTTTCCACTAAGTTCTTGTTTGCAATTGAAAGGCGTCTTCTTTTCCTTGGACCTGCCCTGCAGCTCTTTGAATCCTCTTGGCGTTGCAGAGCTGGGGCGCTCCAAGCACACGGGAAGCCAGCGGAGGGACGGTGACACAGAAGTCCACCAGAGGGCGCCCGCGCCCCGCGAGCCGAGTCCGAAGCCGGACCGCAGCCAGCGGGCCAGTGGACCACGCCTGGCGAGATGGCGCTAGGACTGCTGGTGCTGCAGAACCTAGCCCCGCCTTCCTGCCGCTTGATTGCGAAGGTTAACTGTGCGCATGGCCAGATGGCTGGCTCCGGTCGAGCTGGCCAACATCCGGGGTCCTTATCCAGGTGGATACATTTGCTTTTCAAAAAGCGGAGAGCGCGGAAAATACAGGGGGAGCCGGTTAGTCTGTCTCGGGACTCTGCCTGAGTAACAGCTCCAGGCATCGGACACCCTGGGAGCAGCAAGGGAATTGCATTTTTAAGGTCACCTTCCCTTCCCACATGCAAGTCTCGCTCATGTCCTCCTCATTCCTGCCTGGCCCTTTTCCTAATGTCCAGCTGTTGGCCCTTGCAGCCCCGCTATAGCTTAGCTGAAATCATATGAACCCTCTGTCATCCCAGTCCTTGGTCTCTTGCCTTGGCATTGCATCCTGTCACTGCGCGCTCATTCCTGCTTTCCCACCTTGTCCACTACCTGGCAGTGGGCCTGTCAGCCTTGAGGGCCACCTTGGCACCTGGAGCTTAGCAGGCTCTCAGCTCTTGTTTGATAAATTAAGCTAAAAAGAAATATCAAGTGGACTCGC